ACAAAAAGTTATTTGAAGAAAGAAAAAATTATAAGATAGTATTGAAAGAAAGTAAAATATTTTTATTCAGATTAATCTATCAAATATCAGAGTTAGAATTAAAGATGTTTAGGGAATATATCGATGATATATTAAAAAAAAGTTGGATTAAAAAATCAATTTCATAAATAATTAGTTTTGTATTATATATATTCAAAAAAGATAATATTAAAAGATTATATATAGATTATTATAAGTTTAATAATATAATAATCAAGAATTGATATCTATTTCTATTAATTATAGAATTAAAAGATTGATTGAGAAAAATAAAGATTTTCTTCAAATTTGATTTAAGTGTAACGATCAGGTCGAGGCAGCGGCTGCCTGAGGTTTCGTATAGTTGGTAGTTGTGAATTAAGGCTAATAATCACTGGTTATCCACTCGAAGGTAAATACGTTACTAGATCAATTGGAATATAAGTAAACTAATTGATAACTAAGTTGAGCACGAAGCTTCTAAACTATGAAACTATTCTGACTATATACTAATCCATTTCGGGAGCCTCCAGGAGCGTGGGCTCCCGTAGGCTCCATCACGTGACTAGGATCAGACTATATGTCCGAGCTTGCTGAAGGTGGGGAGACCATATGAAGCGGTTGCCATACAAATTTGTATACAAGTTGCTTTGCTTTTCAAGGAGGTCCAAGCTCATAAGGACAGGTTGACTGTTACCCCGTAACATTCTATAAAATGATTTCGTGACATTAAGGAACGGATTTCATCTAATCAAAATAAAAAAAGATAAAAAATAGAAAACAATATTCAAAATTCGATACAGATTATACAAGTATCAGATTATATTATTCGGATTAATTAATGTATTAATAATATATATATAATTAATCAATAATATATTAAAGAAATATTCAGATATCTATTATATATATTATTTAAACAATATCTTTGTATTCTCTAAAATGAAGAAATAGTATATATTAGATATATATAAGGTATTAAAACATTTGAAGAAAATAGACTTTTAATATAAATTTAACAAATACGAATTTCATATTATAAAAACAAAATTCCTGAATTATATAATCTTTTCAGAAAGCCTTAAGATGAACTTTGATAAACTAAAAGCAATTCAAAATTAGAAATTATCAAATAGTATAAAGGAGATATAATCCTTTTTAGGATTCATCAATTTCTATCAATGATTTATCAAAGATTATTCCAAAATAGTTATTTCAATATCGAAAATCATCAAAAAGAATCAAAAAGAGTTTCAATGAATTTTGCAAATACAAAAGATATTCGAGGATTTTAAAAAGATCTTTATCAAAAAATCTATTCTTTTAATTTTCAATTTAGAATTATTAATAACTATAGAAATAAATACTTTAGATTATACAATAAAAACTATATTGAATTAATCTGATTCAAATAAAAAATAATAATTAATTGTTTATTATTTATGAAAGTTATTATTAATTGAACTAAATTATAAAATATATAATAAAGAGCTATTAATAATAATAGATATATTTAAGGAATAAAAAATTTATTTGAAAGAATTAAAATATATAATACAAATATATATAGATTATAAAAATTTGATTTATTTTATTACAATAAAGGAATTAAATCGATAACAAATCAAATAATTGAAAATTTTAATAATCTACAATTTCAGAATTTTATATATCAAAGGAAACAAAAATATTAAAACAAATATTTTTAATCGAAAATTAGAATATTTACAAAATAAAATTTACGAAATATATACAATATTAAAACAAAAAAGCAATATATTAATATATAACAAATCTTAATTGATTGTTATCTTTAAATTATTAAATAATATAATCAAATTACAATTATTATTTTATTACAAAAATGATATTATTATATAACGAATTTTAAAAAAACTAGAATTAGGATTCATAATTAAAAAAAAATAATCTATTTTTATAATAAAACTTATATCTTTATTGAAATAACAAAAGATTTTATTAAAGAATAATACAAATTATCAATATATAAATATCAAAGAATAACTAGAATATTTGTAAGATTATAATAAGAAGTATATTTTTCAAGAATGAGAATAATAATTGAAAAATATAATATTTATATACAAAACAAAACTATTAAATATATTTTATATAATCAATTCAAGACTTTTAATCTACCTTCAGAATTATAGAAATCTATTGTATAAGATTTTGTAATTAAATTTTTTTTTTTTCAAAAAATCAGTTACGAAAAAAGAATACAATATTATTCTAATAGTAATAGATAAACTAATCAAATATACTTATATAATATTATTTTGTAAAATATAATCTATTGATAATTTGATATATATATTTCTAAAGAATATAATCAATATATATAATATACTAGAAAAAATAATTTCGGATCGAGATAAGTTTTTTATCCTGAAATTTTGGATAATATTAATGATATTATTAAATATAAAAAGAAAGTTATCAATAATTTTTTATTTATAAACAAATAAATAAACAAAATGATTAAATTAAATAATAGAAATCTATTTATAATATTATATTAATTATAAACAAAATAATTGAGTTGAATTATTATCTTTAGTTTAATTTGTATATAATTCATTGAAAATAGAAACAATAAAAACTATATTAGTTTATATTTGTGATATACAAGAGCCTTATAAGAGCTGAATAAACAGAGTTAATTATATTCCTTAGAATCTATAATTGAAAAACTATAACTTATAAAGAGCATCTATATATATATACAAAATACCTATACAGTAGCTGTATGATTGTGCGCTTTCTTCCTTAAGGTGATCATAATGCCATACTAAAAAGGGTGAATTTGGAAAGATGTGTACAGACTATCAGCTCACCGATAGGAATTGTCGATCAATTAGAATCACGTGATCTTCCTTTATACGAGGTTCGTGACAATATTAACTTTAGATTCTATTCAATAATATATCGAATAATATTATTACAAAATAGAAATACAAACGAAATTATAAAGAATATTAAAGAGATTAAAGATTTATAAAAGTAACTCTTTTTGGATTTATAATTTATAACTTTACAAATAATAATATATTACAATTCATTATATAATTTAAAATTTATATTTAAAAAGGAAAATAAAATTTATCTTCTTCAAAGAAATATATAAATAAAACAATCTAATGATAAATTAGATTATAAAAAACTAGAATTATTCAAAATCGATAAGATAATTAAATCAATCAATTATAAATTAAAACTATTATATATTATAAATATTCATTTAGTATTTTATATATTCTTACTCGAATCAATATTATTAGAAACATTTAATATATCTATAATAGAAATCGAATTAATCAATTCAAATATTATATATAATATCAAAATGATATTAGATTATAAATATATTAAAAACAAAATTAAATATTTGATTAAATAATTGAATTTCTTATATTTAAAAAATATTTAAAAATTAAAAAAAGATTTTAATTGTTTTGAAAAATTGAAAGTATTTTATTAATGTTATTCAAATTTTTCTAAAAATAATTCAAAAAATTTAATAAAAAAAAAGAATTGTAATTATCAAACAAATTTGTATTAACTTTAATAAATATCGACAAATTAAAATTCGATTATTTCTTTTTTTGTTTTACATACTCTTTATTTAATCTTTTATTTTATTTTATTTTATTCAATTCATTTATTGTTTTTAAATTACAATAAATCATTATAAAAATCTGTTTACAAAAGAAATATTGCTATTTATCAAAACAAAATAATTTTAATAAAGTTTTTTTGTATTTACAATTCAAACATTCTTGTTTTTATACAATACTCATTGTATCTTTAATAATAAAACCTGATATATTATATCATTAATCCCAACAAATATATTCATTATAACAATTGGAATTTTCCTTAACAATAATATAACAATATAAATATTTTTCGCAATAAATATACAAAAACATCTCGAACCCTTCAGACTCGATTATTAAAATAAATTCAATTTATTTTTTATATTTTCTTGACTTTATAAATAATATAATAAAAGAAAGAAAAGATTTATTCTACAAAATTTATAATACAATAAGAAAAACAATTATAAAAGTTTAAAATAAATACTAAACTAAAAAAAGAATAATATTACAAAATAACAATCAATTTATCAATATAAATTTAAACCTTTTCGAAAAGCAAAACAATTTGTTTACAAATTTGTATAATAATCATTTTATATAATCTCCCCACTTTTAACAAACTCGAACTTATAGTCTAATCCAAAAGGTTATATAATGAACCTTATATATACAAGAATACAAATCGTAGATCTATACAAATCATAGATTTATACAAATCGTAAATCCATACAAATCATAGATCCATACAAATCGTAGGTCTATAGGATTCTACAGAATACAAAGATCTATATAAACCAAAGGGGTTTCCTATATATAAAAGCTTTATACTCAAGATCAATCATTTAGTATACTCTACTATTAATTACAAATTACAACCATTGATATTATTTAAAGCCTCTACTTGACGTCTAGTTATAAACCCTTCGAAGATCCAGGTCATTTCCACATGATCTAGATCGCATCCCTCGTAACACTCTTATATATATTTTATTAAACTCTTAACTCTTTCTAAAAACTAACTCAAATATATAATTGAAAATTGAAATACTTAAATTTATAAATCTTAACAAAATCAATTATGAAGTTAAAATTTTTAAAATTTATTATTATTTGAAAAATAAATATATAATTCAAATTTTATTAAATTATATTGATTTCTTATAAAGTTATTAATAAATAAAAATAATAAATTTTAATACAAAAAGATGATACAGAAGAGAGATGGCCCAAAACTAGAGTACTAGACTTATTCTATAGGTGTTACTTTTTTCTCTCTAGGTCTTTATGATATACGTTTTGAGAGTATTCTGGGGTTGTTTTGTTGGATTCATTTAAAAGGAATGGATATGCATGAGGATCGATATTTGTATTTCTCTAACATCCAACAATTCCCAAATCCCTCTTGGATGATACCCAGATAGCACCCGGCCCTAATGTCCCCATTTTGCGATTCAGAACATTCCTAACCATTTCTTCCCAAGACCGATCCGTGGATCCTGACTGAAGAACCTCCAACCATCCAATGTAGGTTTACAGCCAAAGTGCTGATCATCTTGCTCAACTACTAACCAAAGAATAGAAAGAAACCCAAACTTGTTCCTAGGCTATCGATCGTAACATATTTTACTATCTTCTGACTATCCTTCGATGTGTGATATACGATTTAAGTTATCATCACGATCTTCAAGTTTGTATAGAGTTAGAAAAACCCAAGAGGTCGTTACAATAGAAGAAAGGATAATCTGTGTCTAAAGAAATCAATAAGAATCCACAATCAAAAAATATTTTGATACTTACTAATAAAAAAACTGCCATATCGTGCCAGCACAAGCATAGTACTGATGCCGGCATTGCAACCAAGGTAATACCGGAAATTAACAACGGAGCGAGCGCTTTCTTGTATTGGTTTCCCAGCATACCAGAGCGATCCAGTTGTCCTATCGTAAGACAACCGAGAAAGCCGTATCCTAGAACACATCCAGCAACAACTAGTATACGACTTAAATCAATATAAGAGTCATAGAAGATGAAGGCAAATGCCGGAAACAGCAAGCCAAGAACCACCAATACAAAAGCTGAGTGAATCCAGGGAAAAGGTCCATCTCGAAAGGCATCAAATGTAAAGGCACCGAGAACTGATCTTGAGCTCATCATAACCTTACATATAATTAGCAGCTGAATGATCAACCTTAAAAGGATGCATACCTGAATGATAAAGCTCAATAATAAAGATAAACTCTGTAAACTGTAGAAAGCAGCCAGTGTTCTTTTTGATTCAACAATAAGGAAAATATCGAGTCCAAAAAATAGGGAGGCGATGAAAAGTCGGAGGACAAAATATGACTGGGCATGATCTGTATAACGCCATCGGAGAGAAATATCAACGATATACAATAAAATAATGTAAAAGGTGAAGAATACTGAAACACACATTTGCATCTTGTAGAATGAGCGCTAATGAAAGTAGACAAGTGTGAGCTGCTGTAGAAGAGCAGTCGAAAACGAACAGCGTTCAGGGTGCAGACAAGCTAGAGCCAGAAAATAATGGCAGGAAAGAAGAGAGACTGCGGTAAAGGATAAGTCAAGCGGACTAATTTGTGATTCTGTAAGATGTGAAAAGCATACACTGGTTGTCTAGTTATACAAGCTTCCTCTTATACATATAGAATAGAGCTTCTCTCTCCCCTCTGATAAGTATAACCATACCCCTTTAGATGCAGAAAACATATCATTTCGACACCTACCTTGCAAGCCCTCACTCTCACTGACGGAGAGGATGTAAGGGGAATAGATCTATCATATGGATAGGATAATTAGATGTTGTTTATTTTCAAGGTCGTTTAAATCGGATGCCCATATACGGAAAATCATCCCGCGCGGTGGCGTCCTACTCAAAACAGCACCATGCACTTGCATTTAGAACAAAGGATTCTTTTTCCCACCCACCAAGAGCCATAGCTTCAGTTTGCGCGAAAATGCCATCTCAAAGGCGAATTGACAACTTTCGTGGTACCGCTTTTCAGCATATTGAATTCCTGGAATTGAAAGAATTCACCTTAGTAAATTTGCGCCTAGCATCCGTGCTGTTCGAGTTGCGCAACCGATATGTTCTCCTCCCACTTCCCCACAAGCAAGTTGTAAATCACTAAGGAAATAGCGACTGATCAATTCATGCAATACATTCCAAAATCACTACTAGCAACAAGGAGCCCACCGAGAGCGATCCCGTCAAAAAAGAAGCAACAAATTAGGGCGCCTAGATGGCAGCGGGAGATGGGCGGGGTGCTGAGGGCCATCCCAGATGCAAGGGAATGATTGACGGAAAGAAATGACTGGTCTCTTCGTCCCAAAAAGAAATCTTTGATGCATACGATAGACTCGTGGGTTGTAAAAAAGAGCGTATGATACCTCTTATTGCCAATCGATATCATCCAATAGACAATCATCATTCTTCTGATGCTCTTCTACAGCTTGCAAGTAACCATGCTGAGACCACTGCAGCTCTGGAAGTTGGGAAATCTTTTACTTTACAGATATTTCGCTTTCGTATACTAGTGTTTGTTTCACTATGTTGCCTATTGCTACATCAGAATGTGGAAAAACATCTGATAGGCAGAGCAATGGAAATCTGTGTCAGCAAATCGGATGCTAAGAACCTTGATTGCCTCCGAAGAGGTGCCCGCTGGGCTAATCGGATGATGTGTACACTATCATCAAAAGGTCTACGGCATCGAGCGAGCGAGCTTTTTGTACTCTGTGAGTGCTAGCAATCTGCTATTATCAATATTTAACATTTGCGAACTTGGGACTTGCAGCGGGTCGATCGATGTCAATGTATGGCAGCTTTGCGAATGTTGGGGGAGCGAGGGTTTTCTTATTTCCTGAATCATATCACGACCGAAGGACACGAAAATTCAGGACTCGAGGCACAGGCGTGTTTGCCATTCTGGATACCATTTTTTATCAAGGTTATTGTAGGTGAGAGCTGAGGTAAAACCACGTGAAAACCTCGAGCCAGAATTCTTACTAATATGTCTTGCAAGTATATGCGTTGCTCTTGGCTATGAAGACGGATTTTCTAGCTGATCGGTATGCATCACTCTTCGATAAATATCGCAGTAGACAGCTTTCACTACCCGCAATTGCCAGCATGAAGCCCACATCAAATATATCCAACACCTCCTATGGTATATATTTCTCCCCATGTATATTGTGCGACAGCTGATATTGTACTAGAGACCTACAATGACTATGGACGATCTGGGAATGCTGGCGGATCAAATACCGCAAACTTTGCTCCGATTCCGTTCGGGGTTCCGTTGACAGCCCGCACAGCATAGTGATTCTCTGGCTGGATCTGTGTCAGGTCATCAAGTGCCAGATTACACAAGCAGGGCTCTAGAGACGAGTGCGTTGCAATCGATAGCAGATCTGCATCCTTCACATACCCGGATCCTTCACATACCCGGATGGACAACACAGCTTCAAGTATTGACAATGTAATTGGCTCTGAATTAGTTTTCCACAATTTACCGCATGAAAATTTTATTGGTCTTGGATTGGACTTCTTTGGGTCGGGGCTTAACCACGAGCCATACGTAGACTTAGGAACTTGGACATAACAATGGTATGTACGTAGAATAGTGAAAAACTTGACCGATTAGACTTTATACTTTAACATTTCCTGTGCACAGCACAACGCATATCAGCTTGCTCTTTGGCTGCAAGTATATTGAACATCTCCCGCCTATTGCATGCTCACAACCTGTTTCGAATGCGAACATCGCCTCGCGTCCTGTTTTGCGCCCAATAAGTTTCGTTATTCCTGAGCCAATTATGGCGACCCGTAATCAGAATTAGGCAATCCTCTTCTGGAGCAACTGAACTAGATCCAACCAGCCGCCCTGAAACGCCAGTAACCGCACGCCGATGGAGATGGAGTATATCGTTTTCCTGGGATCAGAGGGATTGGGAGGGAGGATCGCGGCAACCAAATCATACACCAGAGCTTCCTACATTGTATTAGTTGGTGGCTAGATATTTATTTCTGAGATATCTACAGATACCTGCCTTCAGAGATCGGAACTCTTTCTTGAACTGCTCCCTCACTTTCTCCAACACTTTCGTTTCATCATCGAAACAATCCACCTTTGAACACACCTTTTGTTCTTCGATATATTTGATATCGAAATACCGTGTAATATCTTCTGCCAGTTTTTAAATATCTTCAACTCAATCGCACAACGTGCACAAGGTCTTTAGTATCGCTGCTTGAAGTCATCGTAAATCCGGACGTCGAAAGAGAGGGTGTTATAAATGGCCAGACTATTACTATTCCTGTAATTTGAAAGTTATTAAAATGCTCATGAGGATGGCTTTATAATGCGTACTTAATGCTAGACACAATCAATGTCATCAAAGCTTTCGGTTTTTGGTTCGCAGATTGCGTCGTCTGGAGGGTGGGTTGATCTGTATGTAGATGCGATAAGTGATCTCTTCGTTAAATAGTCTTTGATGACGGCCGGAGGCTTAGCGAAGTACATTTTCACACCAAAAATCACATATTTCAGAAACTTTTATAAATCCAATAAATAATAATATATACTTCAAATTTCAAAAATATAATAGATATATATCAAAAATTTAATATCTTACTCATTTCCTGATTTCGTATATCAAAATATAATATAAAAATTTAAAATATATTAAAAATCAAATCTTAAAATATTATAATTTTGATTCAATAATTTTTCATTGATAAAAAACTAAAAATATTTTCATTAATATATAATTATTAATTGAATAAATATTAATATCTATTTCAAATATCAAATTAAAATATTGGAAAATTAAATTAATATATATTTTTCAAAAGATCGACTTTTTGATAGTAAGAATATAAAAGCTTGGGCTCGGCCCTCATCAAAGACTAGCCCGAGTAATAGTCGTTCATTGTTGGTGGGGTTATTGATTCGTGAGGATTTATAGATGAATTATAAACAAATCATGATGCATCTTTTCCTCGAGCGAACACACAAGTCAACAGGGGCTGTATTGATTGTCTTGATTTATACATAAATCCTTTCCTCTTCTCAGGTCTCTTCATTTTATTTTACTATTGTGAGAATCATAATAAAGAATCGATTAGTATTCAAATGATAGTAAATTTATTTCTTTTTTGAATCATCTCTTTTTAAATTATTTTTATATTAAAATTAATATTTCAATTTATAAATAACTTTTTATTTATATATATAATTTCTTAAAATTTTAATTGTGAATTTGTTATTTATAAAATAATAAAAACTTATTTAAAGAAATTATAATATAAATAATTTAATTATTTTAAAATATTTTTAAAATATATAACTTAATTTTTTAAATTTATTTAATAATTTAATTTATTATTATTATTATTATTATAAATCTTATTCTCCTCACTCTCCTCACTCTCCTCACTTCCCATCCATCTCATTAAAATCAAAACCCTCTAAAACTCAAACTCAAACTCAAAAATCAAAACTCACCCCCTCCCCCTCCCCTTCCTTCTCCTCCTCCTCCTCCTCATACAAACTTAAACTCTATCTCTCTTATATATATATATATATATATATATATATATATAATATCTCCATCTCCATCTTCATCTCTATTTATATCTATATCTATTTCTATACACACAACTAAACTAAACCAACCAAAAAATACTCACTCTAGAAACAAAAGCAAAAATAAAAACCCGAGAAACTAAAACAAAAAACTAGAACCTGAGAAATAAATCAAAACAGAAATCAAGAACTAGAACCAGAATCAGAACAAAGAAAGAGCGATATATGTATAAGAAATAAATAAATATATAATCAAATAATTATTTAATAGATTAATTAGATAGATTTATAAAAGGAAATCCATTAATAAACTAATGAACTCATCAACAATAAGTAGGTAATGAACAACGAACAATGAACTTCCAAACAAGCAATCTACAAACTCAAACTGTAATCCCAATATACATATGACAGTTTTATATCTTATCTTAATAAAAAGCAACAAAGAAAAGAAAACATGGTATCACATACAGCTCACAGCTGACCCATCACCATCACCATCACCATCACCATATCCATCCATACCCATTTCCATCCCCAGATCCATGCCTCATCCCCATCTATTAACACCCCAACCTCCACCTCAACCTCCACCTCCACCTCCACCATTAACATAAAGCCTTAACACAACATAAACCCTACAAGATAAATCCCACTAGGTAAAATATTCACATTCACAATCACATAAACAAAACAATCTCCCCCCTATCATTCTTCTTCATTCTCAAACTCCTCCAAAGTTCCTTCTCCTCATCACCCTTCCCCAAAGCTAAACCCGCCGCTATTCTCTCGCGATGATATCTCTTCAATGCTTTATTCATCGATACACCTTTTTCGCTATTAGGTCCCTTATTCACCATACTCATGAGAAGTTCTGCGCGAGGTTTATAAACTACCATTTGATTTTCGCCTGAAGATGTATCTGTTGCGCCATTGATAGGTTTGTATTCGAGCATTTTGGGTTTTTCAGATGTCTTGTTGCCATGCTTGTGTTTGCGTTTCTTGGGTCTGTCTTCTGAGTGTTCGCGAGATGGCTGACGAGTGGTGATTAAGGCCATAAAGTTGCTACCAAATCCATCATGACGTGTGCGTGCACGACTGGCGCGTTTGGATTCTTTTGTCTTTTTGGTTTTGGCGCTAGGTGATTCTTTTTCTGCGTCAGCACCAGAGTAATCTGGTGATGGAGGAAAGACTGAAGGACGGGAGAGAAGTTTGCCGAGTCCACCAGTCAATCCTGAATGTAGAACTGGTGGTGCATCATCCATTAGGACATCGCCTTCTCGAGATGATAAATCATGAGTATCAACATGTAAACGTTTGCGCTTCTTATCTTTCTTATCCTTCTTCTCATCTTTCTTGTCTTTTTTCGATTTCCCTTCATGTTCTTTGGTTGGTTTCCATTCAATCGCTTTTGGTGCTGGTGTTTCGAAAGGTCCAGTTGTAGGTACAGGTCCAGAACCCCATTCGACTAGACTGGCAAGTGGACTCTCTGCTACATTCACTCGTACCAAATCCGTGGATGGTTTCTCCTCTGCTTCAGATACATCTGAATTATCGCTCATTGATTCATCACGAACTTGTTGCTCTGATTCGATGTAACGCGTAGGTTCAGAAGCATTCATGATCTGATCAGGAACAGGGAGTTCCAACCGCGATGCATTGGGAGTTGGATCGACGAGAAAATCGAAAACATTGACGGCTGCTGGCGGCGAAGGAGCTTTTGGTACCGAAGAAGCTGTAGCGAGTTGTGAATTATCGTATTCATCTTGCGCATCTTCGACATATGCTTTATGAACCGGAGTAGATTGAGAATTATTATGCGAATTATTCTTCTGAGTATTTTGTTGTTTTCCTTTCTTCCCTTTACCCTCTCCTCTGTAAAGAGCACCTTGATATTTTTGCGCTTCGCTCATACAGCTCTTTAATTGTTGTCAGCAAATGGTGCCCCGCGTCTGGGTTCGTATTTGTTTACATACAGTATGCGCGCGATATTCTAGGCCTTGAAAATGTACCATGCAATCTAGACAAGTATATGAAGCGCCGCGACATTGATTTCGATGAGGATCGAGTTTTTTCTTCGTAAGGACATCTCCGCAATTCTGTATAAATGATTTTTGTTAGACAAGATTTTTGAGTTACCATAGTCAACGTAGGTGTAGCTGTATGTGCAGGTATTGGTGTTTCAATAATATTGGATAGGTAGGTAGGGCGGTCGTAGCGATAATAAACATACCTCACAACTGAATGATACCATATTGATGTATTTTTCTTTTTCCTGCAAGGTTTCTCTTGGATTGTTTGGGATTCGAAAGTATTTGCAGCAGAAATTTATCAAGGAAGAAATCGATCAGATTTTTTTTCTTCTTTTGGCGAAGTGTATGTAGTTGATAGATAATTTGGTAAGTTTGTTAATAGTCGCGGGGGAAAGAAGTAGTAGCTCAGCTAGCTTTTGGAAACACTGGATCGTAGTTGTCGGTTGTGTTGTATAGGTAGTAGTTGGGAGGTAGATATTTGATATGAAACTTGGGGGAGGGATGGAAAGTGTTTCTAAATAGATTATTTCCTCTTTTGTCAATATCAAAGCCTCTTTTTGAGGGGGATGTTGGCTGAGGGGAGGGGTTTTGTCGCCTTGGAATACAAATAAATAAACCTTGAAAATATTTCTTGGGGTCTTGAACCTTGATCTTTTTGTGGGATTATTTATGCAGGTGCAGCTCTCGCGTTAGTATTTTTGTTGCGAATCTTATTGAAAGATTGAAGAATGAGCTCTGTAATGGATGAGTGGTGGTGAATGTATGAAATTGTATGAATTGAGTGAAAAAGATGAAAAAGATGAAAAAGATGAAAAAGATGAAAAATGTTTGGTTAGAATTTTAGATTTTTTTATATACTTTTCTTCCTAGACCCTTCCTTAGGTGGTGGAGATGCCGCCCTTCGCCCTTCTTGTCCTTCCCCCTTCTTGTCCTTCCCCCTTCTTGTCCTTTCCCCTCCTCTACAGTTCTACTTTCGTAAAGACTAGAATACGCCCGGACTATGCTAAGAATTATATTCGTACTACATTGGCTAGGGAGGTATGTATATACTTCGTACAGCTGGTTACCTTTCCTGCGACCTACTTGCTACACGCTGGCACCAGAGTACAAATGCCTAGGTGGGATTTTCTACGAATGTCCGCAGTATCATGTATCTAATTCATTTGAACAATGTTAATTTGGCATTGCATCCATCCCTCGTCTTCCTATCTTGCTTCGAACCACTTATGTTGGGGGCTGAACAAACAAGCAGCAAGCAATTCAAATTTCACAGAGGAATGTTCACAACATCAATACAACGGTATGTTGAAAATCTGAGAATAAAAATAAAAATAAAAATATTCTAGCTTTGGGCGTCAATTTCAAGGGGAAAGTATCTTCACACGAGAAGAGCTATCATTGGGTTGCCTTACGTAAGATCTTACCATTTATTATGTGATATTTTCATGATTGGGCATTTTATCGAATCTACCTTACCTTAGGTACATGATCAAGCTGGTTCCGGAAGATATTCTTCATTGGATGGTCCCCTTATTTGATCTTTCGATCTTTTAAGGTACCGATACATGTTGATTGGGGATTCGATTTGTTGGAACCTCAATTCATTCCATAGTGTTGTAGTATTGCAAATAGAAGGAAAACAACGTGAGATCGGGTATTTCTGGATCATGGTACACATTCCTACGTTGTAAGTTTCGTTCCGAGGGAGTGAGCATGTTGGCGACGAGGACGAGTAACTACAAACCACCACTGGAAAATAGAAAAGACAAACACAGAATAGAGTCAATGATCTACCATGATCTGAGCCTGGACTCTCCCCATAAAGGAACGATCCGAAAATAAATGTGTATCATCTTGGATAAATGCCTTCGAAACGGCCCCAAACACGAATCACATTGATCATACATACCCTTCCTTACTCCGTACTCCATACTCCGTAACCTTACTCAACCCGCAACCCTTGCTATCTCAAGTTGCACTTTCTCCAGACTGTGGCTCAAAATATGACTTAATAGCTGTATCGCCGTCATATCGTGTACTGCCATCGATGCATCTTCCCCCCAGATACAATCTAATCACGACCACATTCTATTGTACGAGAGGCGGCCATTCGTACGACAAACATAGATAGGAGTGAGTGAGATATATCCATTTGTTTCCCTCACGTTAGTCCGTTCCACGTTGGTCCGATTAAAGGAGAGAATGTCTTTTCCGAATTCTCCGTTCGAGCCTCCGATTCCTTTCCCCTTCATCTTACTTGTAGTTATTCTGCCGTGATGATGCTGATGTGATGATGGTTTGATTTTCATTCCTCACTTGTCGGCAGTCAGCCTTGAGTTGATAACTTTACCAATGTATGATTAGCTGACTAAAAGTTTCCTGCTATCCGAAGATTGCGTTCACATTACTCGCAGGATGCCGCAATCATGAACCAAAATAGATCTAGATGTACGATTATGTACAGAGGAGAGTAGTTCGCTGGTAGGCAGGCATGTCTAGTTATAATAACGCCATCATATATAATGCGAGTGACCACCCCTTCGACATCTGAATCTCAATCTGCAATTGAGCTCCAACTTGATGGATTACCAACCAATCAAATCAATCTTGCCGACGGACGGATACGGAATGCAAAATCGGAAGGATTTTGATGATTTTGCACTCCCTTGAAATTCTGAGACAACATCGTGAACTTGGATATTAATGTTAATATTTTAGCGGCCAATGGTCTTTTGAAGGTTTGATCGGTTGATCGTTTGGTCGTTTGAGTCGGGCCTCTCTCTCTGCCTCTCTAAAAGATCCAACGGTCCAACAGTCCGTCCACACACCCAGACCTCACTTCACCTTTATTACCATACTTCACTTTCACCATACAGATTATTCACGGGACCGATCGAGTTAACTCAAAAGGAAAATCAAAACACATCAATTTCCATTCCTCCACGGCTTTTTTCATTTTCTTTTTTTCGAGATATCTTCAACCGGTGTCGGATACCATGAAATACTAATGAATATTTTAATACTTTGATACTTGATACTTTGATACCATTCCATTCCTTTCCTTTCCTTCCCGCCCGTCACGACACATCCACCCAATACACAGCTCACTCATTCCGATTGGAGAGACAAAGATATCGATATCTGGCCGGTTCTTTTATCCTCAAAACCTCAATCCTACCCCATCTATCTTATCCTCCCTCGCTCCCCTTTATCTTTGGGAGACATCATATCATGTCTGCACAAGATTCATCTGCTGGAGGTTATTTTGAACAGGTAACTACTGTTATCAGTTCTATCGCAGGTTACCTTAAATTTCCTGTCCTTGTGTCATCGGTACATTTTCTTTCACACAATTCCAATTTCAATTTCAATTCCAATTCATCTACATCTACATCTACATCTACATCTACATCTACATCTACATCTACATCTTTCTTGTGAAAAGGGAAAAAAAGAAAAACCTGGGAAATATTTGATGGTCAATTGTACCGCGCTTGTACTTACCCTTTTTTTTTAACAGGGTATAACTTTTTATTAAGTTCTCTTCTTTACTTCAAGCAAAAGTATTCCCTCCTCCCCCTTAATCCACTTTCCCAGCTTTTCTTTTTCCATCATCACACATCACCATACCACACACCACATCACATCGCCTACCCAAAACACAAACCACCCCCAACCATGTTATCAACCAATAAAATACTGATCAACACGTTGTTTCAATCTTTAGATCCTTGATTTATCCAAGTTCCATCCCAAATGCCGCCCGCACCCAAGTCCCACGACCCTCACAATTTGGCATATCGGATTTCGAGGAGTTGATGATCCCTACGCCTGATGGGGAAAAGCTTTCAGCATTCTATATTCGAGCACCGCAGACGAGGAAGAGAAAGAATGTCACAATGCTCATGTTTCATGGCAATGCCGGGAATATCGGTCATCGAATACCTATCGCGAGACGATTTATAAACATTGTGGGATGTAGTGTCTTAATGTTGGAGTACCGGGGTTATGGTCTCTCAACTGGATCACCGGATGAGAAAGGTCTCATGATAGATGCTCAGACTGGTTTTGACTATCTTCGCAAAAGAGCAGAGACGAGGGATAATGATATTGTGATCTATGGACAGAGCCTTGGAGGTGCCGTATCAATACAATTGGTGGCTAAGAATCAAAACGACGAAAGATTAGTGGGTCTAGTTTTGGAAAATACTTTTCTCTCCATGAGAAAGTTGATACCATCGTACGTTGTGTCCACTACACCACTTGATCGAGCACTAATGTTTCAAAGTGTCATCCCACCAGCTAGATATCTCACTTATCTATGTCATCAAGTCTGGGCATCTGATACATACCTGCCTTCCATTACCGAAGTCCCTATCCTCTTTATTAGCGGTCTCTTGGATGAGATTGTACCGTATGTTTTCTTTCATTTCTTCCTTTCATACACAATCCTCTAGAATGATGACCCAATTTCCATCCACAAAACATGATGTCCCTTCTGGGACCAGATTACAAATCACGAGAACTTTTTGTCTGACTACCTCAACACAACATATTATTTTCATAACCACAAAATCACCATATACCCTTCCACTAACTCTTCAAATCATAGACCTAGCCACATGCGCCGCCTCTTTGAGATTTGTCAATCCCCGACCAAAATATGGAAACCTCTTCCTGGTGGTGACCATAATTCCAGCGTCGTCGAAATCGGGTATTTTGAAGCCGTAGCGGATTTTGTTCAGAATCTAGACACCAAACACGGTTAAAATGATACCTACTACGGAAGGAAGATCAACATACCAAAGTTTCTGGTTTTCAGCACGCAAACTTGATATAGACATTTGGCGGGGCGTTTTGTGGTGCAATTAGATTTAGATTAAATTCGACTAGAACAGCATACATAGTATGGCTTTCAGCATCCAGGCTACTTAATTACTCCTTTTAATCAAGCGAGAATCGAGCCTATTACTTACTTTACTTGAAGAGGGTCGATGAATTTTAGATTTCTATATGTATATGAGCGATGCATGGATGGATGGGTGGGTGGATGGATAGATGAATGAACCAATCCAGCTATGGGAAAATTTTAAATTAGGAAGAGAGAGACAGAGCACGGTGGAGATATGGTAGGGGTATCGCAGTATCGCGGAGTGGAGGGGAGAAAGGCAGGAGAGGGGGAGATATCTGCAGGCAATAAGTAATAAGTAACAAATAACAAGCAAGATATAGTGTGATCCTACCTACCATACCATACCATACCCTACATAATCCTACCTCGTCTTATTCAAAGAGTTGCAAAGATTATATATATATATATATATATAGTCTTACAAAAACATTCAAATAATATCAAGATTTTACAAATAATAATAAGTTCCCCTTTCCCGCCCGTCCATCAAAACTTTCTCATTAATTTAAACATCTTTCTCCCATTCCATCTCTTGTTCTTCTCCTTCACTTCCTCCGAATCAGTCCTTTATCCATCCATTCATCTTCTCATCCATTTATCACAACCAACATAACATTTATCTTTTTCTACATTATCCTTTTAATTAATTTATTTTTCCTCTTTCCCTTCTTCCATTTCTTCTTCTTCTTCATTCTTCCTCCCTCCCTCCCTCCCTCCACATCTCCCCATCCTCAACAAACAAAACAAACGAAAAGATAAGATTCTCACAGAGAATAAAGAAGTCAAGTCCAAATCATTTCCTCCATTCCACCATTCCACCATTCCACAACATCACCTCAACTCATCTATCTCACTTGTCCTCCCTTATTCCCTGTTCTGTTTTGCTCTTACTCTCTTCCTATTTCCTTTGCTCCCGCTCTCGCTCTCCACTGGTATATTCAACAACTAAAATTAAAATAACTCCAACAAAAAACCGACATCAACTCATGCATGTGATCATGAGCCCTAGACATCCGTCCATCCATTCCATCCATATTAACAAAGCCCAAACCCTGCAAACTAAACTTTAGAAATTGAAAAGGAAAAGGAAAAAATTTCCAGGCTGCACTTATTGTTCCACCGACCCATCCATCCACCCATCCGTCCATCCATCCATCATAACGAATCGCTCCATAAAAAGCAATCTAAAACAATCTTACCGACATTAGAAATCAAAAAAGGAGAAAAAATCAGGCTTATTTGAACGCCCATTCCTAAATCAAAAACGCCCTTCCTTTCCATCTGCACCCAATCTGTATATCCCAGGCACTAGCTGTAGCCAGATCAAAACCAAAAATGATTCCCTAGAACAATCTCCTATCATTAAGCTTGAGTTTCTGACCCTGCCCCATTGCGCCAATAGACCACATAAAATGCTGCTTTTCTACGTGAAAAGGTATTTCGGAAACAAGTACAGGTATTTTAACGCCAAATCAATAAAATAAGCGCCACCTGCAAACAAACAGAAAAAATATTACAAATTGAAGGTCGTAGATGTTGCTTAATCCGTGGCCAGGCGAGCGAAGTGCTTACTCCAGATCCAGCCAACTTGATCAGAGTCATCATCTTGGTTCTTAGCCAACCAAAGTTCGCCCTTCTCTCCGATGACATCAAAAATCTAAAAACATATTAATATGCTGAGTGGAATGGTACAATAGATGGAGACTTACTTCACCAGCTGAATATGTCAGATAAGGGTAACCGGCCTCTTTCTTAGTTGCTTCAATATTAAATTCGAATAAGCTTGCTGCCAGGTAGATGACATTGTAACGACTCCTATGGGTACGATCCATTGAAGAAGCTCTTGAAGATCGAGCGCTATCCTCTGGACCATCAGGCAAGGGCATTGCAGAATGGAAAATGCCAGAGAACGGTCGTTGATCACGAAGAGGGCCATCCACCATGTATGATGCAGATGCTTGAGTAGAACTGGATTCCCTACGATGTCCCAGGTCCGTACTAATTCTCGGAACGCCACCGTTGTCCGAGGCAATACTACGTGATGTTGATGGTCTAGTAGAGCCATACACTCGAGAAGCGCCCGCATCCGTTGCAGGAGAGCCCGATCCAGCTCGTGAATGTCCTGTGGAGTAAGCGGCCGGCAGATATGGAGCATGTACCGGGAAGCCTGGTGCGTTTGCCAAAATTGGTGAAAACGAAAATTGTCCACTGTGTCGCTTCGCAAAATCGGGCGTTGGTAGACTTGGAGACGTGTCATGTTGGCCTGCCGAGGACAAACCACGTGGCCGAGCAGAGGATTCAGACAGTCGGCCTTTGGTTTTTATCGATTCATTGTCCTTGATACTGGCAAGAGGGGTTGAATCTGATCGGTCCAAAAAGCAATCGACCTCGAGCGTACCATTGATGAGACGAAGTTCTTGAGTTTGTGCGAGAACATACTTGTATTCTCGTTCAAAGGATTGTACAATTTCATGTATGCTCACAGGTATTTGGTTCGCATCCAACACAGTCTTGACTTTCTCTTGCCATATGTAATACCATGAGGTTTGATTACAGATAAGTCTAGCAAGAACTTTTCGACCTATCTCCGACGTCAAGGCCGAGAGCCGGGGCAAGTCTGTCTTCAAAGTTTCATTTAGAGCGTCATATTCTTTGACTAACGAGAGGAGCTTGTCATCCGACTTCTTGCCATTAGCCTTGGCAGCCAACCACTTTTCATAATCTACGCGTCTCTTCGAACGTTTCTTCATGAATTCAGTGGGCCCTGTATATAACCGGATAACGGCCTCAATTGGGTCAATGACCTCTTTTCGAATCTTCGCCACCTATTTTATATTAGTCGATGAATTTCCTATACGATTTATTAGAAGGTGCTTACATGGTTTTCCAAAGCGACGCTCCCCATATCTCTCATGGATAAATTAAACTGAGACCATCGAGATTCCATTTCCGGATAGGAGGAAGGGCTATGCCGCATGATCAGCTCCATAGCAGAAAGAAATCTGAGAAAATCGTTGACCCAAGTAGCAACTTGTCGCGTATAGTATTCAATATCACGCATCACTACCTGTAATCGTAGGTAATCATGACCAAACTTCTCATGCAACTTGACAAACACTTCATCGTCATGTGGGCGAACCACACTAGAAGCCAACTTCTCCGATCGTCGTCCAAATGCCTTGGCTAATCCGAGGCGGACCTCTGATTCCTTACGCTTTCGACCAACGATCTTACCGACGACCTGAATACGTTCCTTCAGCTTATCGATAGTCTGCAATAATTTTAGCGTTTCTCGACCAGAAATCGTAAGGGCATTGAAATCTGGGTGATCTTCGGCGGTATGCTTTACGAGGTTGTCGATTAATAACTGATAGCGAGTGATTCGCTGAACTGGTTTAACCATCAGAGCATCAAGGTCCCAAGCAGCCGTCAAATCCTTCGCGACATTGTTGCATTCGATCAGCCACACGCTTACGGCAGGGTCCGCTGACAGAATTTTTAAGCGATCGGCTGCCAATTCGCTGTTCTTCAAGAATTCTGTGTAGACCTCTTGCATCTTTCGAAGATGTTTACCAAAAGTAAAGCCAATAAAAGTCTTTCGGTCCCTTTCTTCATTGAAATCGTTCAAGTCCGGAGGATCCGAACAACTATCGTTGGGTCCTAGAGATGCAGGAGTATTAGCTGCAGTGGTGGTTACTGACGTGGAACCTGTAGCTCGACTTTGTCTGGCGCGGGACTTGGAAGTGTACACAGCTGCTCCGGCTTTTTTGAGGTCATCCAGCAGCGCTGTTGAGAAAGTTATAATCTCATCGGTATTCCTGAAGATTGTCTTGATATCACCGAAGTCCAATTTCGGACATGCTTCCGCCGTTCCTTTGTAAATTTCTTCAACTACATTCATGTCTTTGAGATAAGCAGCCTCTGTATCAATTATTTCCTCGATTATCTTTCGTCGGGTAAATAAGCGTGCGCTTTTCTTCTTGGCAATCGCTTGCTCTTCTTCGGTAAGAGGTAGCTGAGGAATTTTAGGAGCGGGGTAGCTATGGCCTAGGGATACGTCTTCCTGAGATATTTGCATACTTGACCTAGGGGTAGAAAGAGAAGGCCGCGGTGAATATAAATCATCGCTAGGACGTCTGGATTCGGTATGTTGGCTGGCGGCCCTGTGACTTGTTTGATATGCGCTGGATCCAGGCCGACTATCGTTAACACTAGGAGGAGGAGGTGTACGGGTAGGAGGACCTAGTTTAGCAAGAGCATTTTCCCTCCGATAAATATGCTCTGTAATTGGTGGAGGTGTGAGGCTGGCCCATACTGGAATAGTAGGGACGCTGTATATGGTGTCCGGATCAAAGCCAAGGCCAAATCCATTGTGAGATGTCAATGGAGGTAACTCAAGCCCATAGGAATTCACAGAATTCGTCTCCTCAACTAGCACAGGTGGCTCAGGAGAAGGGGGTAGCTTTGGAGGTGGTGTAGGTCCTTTCTGTAATTCAGGGAGCGAAATCTTCGTATTTATCCACTTTTGATTCTCGTCTTGTGCGACTGAATCATCTGTTGTGGCAACTGAGAAATCGGTCCAAGCAGAATGTCGGCTTTCACGGCGGTAGCTGTCAGATGTAAGATATAGCTCGCGATTCTGATCATAAGATGGCCCGTATAAATCTTCTTGTTCGCTCGTGTTGCCGGTGTTTGCTGCCCCAATATCTTCAGAGCTGTCATAATCGGCATCTGTTGGAGTGTACAAATCAGGCTGTCTATCGGTCTCTGGTGGCGATAAGAATTCGGCAAGAGCGGTACGTAAAGCTGGTAACTCAAGTCTAGGGCTTTCTCCTGAATATTCACTTGACTCCAAGTGTAGATGGGATTCATCTGTGTCCTCCTCGATTTTGATGGGAATATCCACCAGCTCTTGAGCACTTTGGTCGTCTGAGCCTAGATCCGTGGGATTAGCAGTGCCATAGTCAATACTTGCATTAGCAGCTGCTTCAATATCTATTTGATCTATGGAATTCGAGTCAAAAGTTTCTGACATCAACGTTTTCGGGCTTGGAGACTCCGCAAGTGATACTGTGGCTGGCTCATCATAAGCTGTGCTATTTGGTGAGTCGTCAGGGATTGCTTCTATCCTCACTTCATGGCCGATGGGCTCGTCTAAAAGTGTTCCGTGGGTATCGTCAGCCACTTCAATTAAAGTGGCTTCGATCGAAATTTCCAAAGAGTCGGCACTAGATCCTTCTCGATAGTCAGAAGTGGTATCTTCTGCTTCAGGTACTTTAGAAAGGACTGCAATCGAATCTGTAACTTTGACGGATGGGTTACGGGCAAGGCGAGGGCCTTCTGTCTGCGCTTCGTTTTCAATGAAAGTAGTGGCGGAAACATTCGAAACCGCGGACATCGGCACATCCTCGTCAATAAATGCTCCCGGAACATCGTTAGTAACACCCAAAGTCGGCGAATCTTGATCTATCCCAGTTTGACGCTCAACTGATGACTTTGAGGTTTGTGGTTCAAAGCTTGTCAAGATCTGTAAAGATTCTGTTCCCAACGACGACATTTCTGGTTCATCATCTCTGCTTGTGGAAGCATTCGTCTGTTCATGCTTTGAGCTTTCCTCACCATTTGTAATTTGTGGGCTTTTTCCATTGAGACGGCGCGTATGCGCTGCTCGCATTTTCTGCAGCTCAGATTCATGAATTGATCTTGTATATGCTCGTGTAATTTGTGCTCGCCGTGCTGCGTAATTGACAGGTTCCGTGTTCATCGCTCTACGTCCTTTCATCTCAGTGGCCACACCAATTCTACTCGCCTTGATCCCAGCTCTTGAATCATGCGGTGATGCCGATCCATCCACTGCCTTCTGCCTTGAGCTAGCCGTTGACGCCGCAGAAACAGGTTGCCGAGGACGTGAACTTCGTAAGGGTGGCGAATTCTTCGCGGGCGGTGCAGAAATATAAGCCTTTAAGCTACCGTCGCTCGGGGATTTTTCCGGGCTGCGTGATTTAACACGGCTGCTTTGCGGGGTAGAACGATTTGCTGATGCCACCGAGCGTCCTCCAGGACTCCACGGTTGATAATCTCTAGGGATTTTTGAATTGGGCGCGCGTTTGCCAGCCAGAGGAGAACTAGCACGCGTCGAGGGTGAACTTGATGTATCTGACTGGCCGCTTAAGCGTCTGAGGGCAATAGGAAGTCGAGACGAAAGCTTTGCTGGCTGAAATTCGGATTCAGCCCCGTCTTCTACATTGGGTAGAGAATCTAGCGCAAGGGTTGCATCCGAATCCTTGGCGTTGACTGGGGATTCTGGTAGGAGAAACGAAGAGCGGTTAACATTGTGCATGGTATTTACCTTGGTGTCTGCAAAATCACTATGAGCACGATTGTGGCCCGATCTTCGCGGTTTGTTTGGTTCTACGTCACCAAGTGATGGTGTCACTCCTAGATACCACGCTGTTGGCGAAGTTGGAGATATATCGACATCCGTGCGACTAAGTTGCTGCGTCGAGATAAGAGAAGGTAAACCTGACTCAGATGTTCTTCTTGTTGCCGTTGGGATACCATAACCTGCCTCGGATGCATCTTGATTGAAAGTTAAAATCTCGCCAAACAGAGGACGCTTCTCCGGTGCTGAAGGTGGTACTTGAGATTGGGACGAACGCGAAAGGTTATTCATTGACTTCGAAGCTGGACCGGGTTTGGTACTTGGTGCATTCCTTGTACGGATGTTGCGGGGGGAACCCGAAAACGCATTAGTTGGATGTTGATCCTCTGTCGCAAGCCTCGGTCGTTGCATTGCCCTTGTGCTAGATGAAGGCGATTTAACTCTGGCTAATCCCGGCTCTCTGGCAGCAGTACCCGATCTTAATGACGAACTCGTAGTTGTAGGTCCAGGGTTACTAGTTACGCGGGGAGTATATGAAATTGATCGATCTCTCATGTATCCAGAACTGATTCCAGCACCATCTTTCGCTCGTGCCCCAGGTTTTCGCGGTATGGGAAGTGACTGATCATTATTCTGATCAAAGCGCTTCAAGAGATCCTTCACGCTTGGTTGTCGTACTGCCCTTCCATATCCATTGGCAAGTGGTTTTGTTGATTGCTTTTGATTGCTTTCAACGGGCGACAGGTTTGAGCCGAAGGGTGGTCGCGTTGTGGTTCGGGAGGCGGAGGAAGTTTGTTTGGATGAGTTGATGGAATTATTTGATCGCACTGTGGAGGGAGTCGGTCTAACATTCGATGCTGTCGCAGCCATATCTACTACTTGAGCCGGCGAGCCGTTTGCTTGTGAAAATGATTGATAATCTCTGTAGAAGTCATCTGGCTCTCCACCATCATCCGAATTGTTCATGTACCCATTCGTTTGAATCGCTTGCAGGTTCGAGGTCGTAAGAAGCGGTAGTTTAGGAGGGTGAGGCGGTGCCGGGTTGAAGTCAAATGCTTGGGAAAGGTGAGGAGATTCGCAAGTGGAAGCAGGTATTTGTCGGTGTTGTGAAGTCAAATCGGACGAGTACTGGAATTGAGATTGGGATTGCGCTGGGAACTGAGCTTCGTCGGAGTGAAGAAAAGGCCTAGAATAAAAATTCTGGTCGTCTAGAAATGCATTCTCCATTGTGCGTCAACATCTGTTTAAGCTCGTGCTCTAATTCTGAGCGATGTAATGCTGTGGTTGTTTACTGATGATCCATACAACTGTGGCAGGAGTTGAATGGCCCTCCAGATGCTCGGGACTGATTCGATGATTTTAGTTTGAGCAACCGACCTTATCCTTGAGCTCTCGGCGTACGAGGGGAACAAAGTGAATGTTTGTGACAGTAGGCTGGACGGAAGAATTATAGGACGGGGATTGATTATATTTTGAGAACGATGCGGGAAAGAAGGTGAGGGTGGTTTATGCGATGCAATTGAGTGGACTGAGTGGATTCCAATCAATTATGTATGTATGTAGGTATGGATGGATTTATGGATGGAGGATGGATGGGTTAGAGGTTTAGTGGTCGGGGGGAAAGATACCTAGGTAGCTTATTCTGATATCTCCACAAACTGAGGCAAGTTGCTGCTTGTCGAGTTTTAAAGTTTAGACGTTTGAAGAAGAGTGAGAGGGATTGCCCAGTAGGTATGAAGTGTATGGATGGATGCAATGGATGCAATGGATGCAATGGTAATACAATAAAAAGGGCAAAAAGGTTAGATAGGTAAATAAAGAAAATGTTGTATGAGATAACTTGTAGAAAGTGACCTCTAGCAATTCTACCCGATAAGCAAAGGTACAGAAGCACAAATACTGGTAAAGTGGTGTATATCTTCAGCAAATGACATCGTCAAGGCAATCAATCGAAATCAATCACATCAGCCATTGAGACAATTCTGCTAATTAATACATACCGGGTTCGGAAGAGTTTACTAAAGAGGACAGGTGCAAAGCTCAAGGGTGATGAAATTTAGCTGTACCAGTTTCAAGGCCATGATGAATTTTTGATTGAGAAATAACTGGGTACCTTGGAGTCTTTTGCCGTCTGTTGCGTGGCTCCCCCTCCAGATTGTACCGGTAGGAGGTAGATAGGAGGGAGGAGGGGAGGAGGGAGGAGGGAGCAGATAATAGATAATAGATACTCCCTGGTATTGGCTGCCATAGCTATTTGGTGATACCGTTCGATTTCTGTTTGGGCCTGTCCCTCGGTGCTAGTTTACTGCATGCACAGTAGTGATTACTTAATACGTAGCTACCGTACCTAGCACTTGTGACGATCAAAAGCTTTTATATTCTAGAGGACGTGGAGTGGCCAAAACTCTAGATGATGAAAATAAGCAAATAATTACTGCAGCCACCATATTGGATGAGATATCCCCAGAAGCCATTGCCGCTCCAAAACCTCGGAGAATAGTGGAATTTGAAGAGTGAAAGAGAAAAGTAGAAACACCAATATTGATACATACAATTTCACTGTCAGTTAGTAACTCAATAACTTAGAAATCGGAGTCTGACCAGGAAATCATGCATAATGCTATTGTTATTGTGTATTTACTTCCTATCCCAGACCTCTCGTCGGATTGTTTTGTTAGACCCTCCAGAGTCCGAGTCTTTTGAGTTCAAAAATAGGTACAACCAGTACAAGGTACCTAGGAAATCCCTTGTGGTGATTCCGATTATAGAAAAGTTGGCCCCATATATCTGCTGTCCTGATGTACCTATCTGTCTTGTCTACCTGGGTGGTGGCTAGGTTTAATCTGCAGAGTATATCATTTCATTATTCGTCATCTAGTCTTCGAATCTTCCAGTAACAACCAAAGTCTTGTAGATAAATTCAACTGTTTCATTTCATATTTCATGCCTTTCTCCAAGCCTGTCTTTCATATCTCTCCTATCACTTGCAGCAGCAGCAGCAAGACAACCAAGACCAAGCACCAAGCACCAAGCACCAAGCACCAAGCACCAAGCACCAAGAACTCAAGTCTTATCGGTTATCGATATCTTCAATTCTAGATCGGTATTGAAAATCAGGGTGATGTTCGGATGTTTAACCAATGAACAAAGTTTTACTAGAGGCCGAGCTGCCGCTTGTCTTCCCTTCTCTACTCCAATTTTATTTGGTTCAACCCCAATTGAAACAACACAGCTCCTTGTTTTGATCACTCATCGATGCCCCCTTACTTCACATTTTTTATTCATGTGCTCAGCATTCACAGACGCAAGGATGCTTATTGATTTTTCGAAATCAAGACATTACTATTTCAGCAATCTGAACAATCTCACCTACAGCCTTGTAACTTTATAAGGCTGCAGAATTGGGTGGGTACTAGCAGTCCCCTTGCAGCTTGAAAGATCAACAAAACATCTAGTCTATGGGATCTCCAAGAACATGGACCTTACAATTAAACATCAAGACAAACTATCTTAAGGAAAACCAGTCTACTTGAAGATCAAAAGTCAAAACGACCTCTCACAATATCAATTGCTCAATATGGCTAGTAAGGGAAAGCGAAACCATGCTGTCACTAGTACTGGCGCTGGTACTGGCAATGGCAATGGCAATGACACTGGTCTTGCAGATTCCAATAAACGCCAAAGGACCTCGGGAGACTGTTACAGCAAGGATCCTCCCGTAAAGCAAGCTTTGCTGAATAAATATTACCCCAATGTTTTATGTCTTCGAGATTATCTACTCTCAAAGCTTCCAGTGTCCTCCAAGGTACGGAGGAAGAAGTTGCTATCTGTGGGTCGCAAGGCTTCTGCAAATATTCAATATCAAGATGGTGATGATGGTGAAGATGAGGACCGTGTGCTGGGTGATTTCCTCGATGGAACATTGATTGGTGTATCATCGAACAATGGACTTTCTCAGGAAGACAGGTTGAAAGAGTGGGTTTCATTTTCACAAAGAGGAGACGTTTCGGTGTCGAACATTGCGGATTCAAATTGTACAAATGTTTACTCCCAATCAGAGGTGAGTGCTTATCAATAATCTTTCTTCCGGAATGTTCTTGTCTCGGACGAGGTGCTAAGAATCTCACCAGATTGTTGATTTTGCTATTTGGTTACTGTTTTCAAAGTCAAAATCACCAAATGGAAGACTACAACACTTACTTTGTCAAGGATATCGTAAAGATGTTAGTTCTCGTTCTGTTCATAGGGGTGAAAATCCCAGGACTTCAATTCCTGGAGTCAATTCTGTATATCCTAACAGTCATGTGACAGCTATGAAAGCCTGGCCATGGCCTCATGTTCTTTCTTTGTTAGGAAAAGCCGGAGAGCGTGTCATGAGTGATTTAATTCTTGATTGTGGTGTTTTTCTTCAAGTAAAGAATACACATGGTAGCTATTATCAACTCAGTGGTAAGTTTCAATGGATTTGGGCATACTCAATCTTGACTGATGACTGTAAATAGGTCAGCCTTTAGGTGAAATCTTACCTATTACAAATGGAAAACACCATGGGAAAGAATCTGGAACAGAAAGCGGTTCAAAGAAAAGTCAGCAGCCAGGTGTCTTGCACAATCCAATGGAAATCAATTTTGTAAGAAATCGAATGCTATATGCAAAGCCTGCTTTGAATGCTCAGGGTGAAGTTCAGTTTGGTCTTCGACACATTCGTAAGTTAATCATATACTAGAATTTTAGATACAAATTGATTGTTTGTTGGGTGTAGATATTTTCAACCGATCTCGATCTCAAGCCAATGATGGTCCCATGATTAGTCGGCGAGGGCCCGAGGAAAACATCATCAGAGTTCTCATGTATATATTTCCTTTACAATTTAATCTTCACAATGTCTTTACTTCAGAGGTTGACAATCGAGAAACTGTTCAACCATTTAAAGATTACACATTACGTGAAGAAGAAATTGATTCGAAATACCCTGAAGCAAAGGGCATCAAAATTCCCAAAAGACTTCGTGGCAAGGCCAAGGACCTGGTCAGAAAGTTGCAGCTATTGCATTCCAGATGCTCATACAATAACTTGTTAGAATATTATTGCCCGGTTAGTCTACATAATGTCATCTTGTAGCCTCTATTAACATTTACAGAATCGAAAGCATCAAGGTGACAAGGCACGCGGTATACAAGAAGAGCCTTCATTTAACTCGACATCGTTCAAAAGCCGATCTCCTCCAAAATGCCGCAGCTCCGCCATACTCTCATCGAGTGCACCCTCAATTCCAGCTCGAAAATTAACTTTAATGGACCATGCAAGTTCTACTGCTGAAGTATCTGCGTTCTGTCGTGCCGTGCTTCGGAATATCATACCGCATGGATTTTGGGGAACGAGAGATGTGCAGGCACATAATGAAAGCATATTCCATAAGAATGTGGATAACTTCATTGGTTTGAGAAGATTTGAGGTTTTGTCACTTCACGAAGTTATGCAGGGAATCAAGGTGACCTTTCTTCCTCATGATTAAAGTACAATTTTCTAACATTTGATAGATTGCCGAGATTGAATGGTTGAGAACACCAAGTACCTCGAACCAAAAATTGTCACTGACTGATTTCAAAAAACGTCGTGAAATTTTCCTTGAATTCCTATATTACTTATTTGACTCGATTCTTATTCCACTGGTTCGCTCACATTTTCATGTCACCGAGTCGAATGTTCATCGTCAACGACTTTTCTTTTTTCGTCATGATGTTTGGAAATCACTTGCGGAACCTGCTCTGGCTTCCTTGAAGCTAAAAATGTTTGAGGAAGTGAAGCTTAAGGATGCTCAACAGATACTTGCTTCACGAACTTTAGGCTTCAGTCAAATGCGACTAATACCTAAGGAAACTGGTGTGCGACCAATCATGAATCTAAGGAGAAGAGCAATGCGTAAAGGTGATGGGCACCTGTTAGGTATCAGTATTAATAGCGTACTAACACCAGTTCATAATGTGCTCACACATGAGAAGGTAAGCACAATTCAGAATTGTGTTTGGCAATGACTAATATTTGTAGGCAAACAACCTAACTCGTCTTGGATCAACACTTTTCTCTGTTGGTGATCTATATCAGAAGGTCAAGTCCTTTAAGGCCTCTCTCGGTGGATCAACAAAGCCACTCTATTTTGCCAAAGTTGACGTCCAAGCTGCATTCGACACCATTCCCCAAGCTGCAGTCATCAAGCTCATGAAAACCGTTCCTTCAGAACCAGAGTACAGATTCTCGAGACACGTTGAGATTAAACCTACAAATGCCTACAACACCGATCCTAATGCACCAAACAAACCCATCCGAAGGTGGAAATCCAACGCTAAATCTATGCATCATCTCGACAATTTCGATGAGGATCTTGAGAATGACATAGCCATTGGCAAAAAGAATACTGTATTCGTCGAAAATATTGTCAATCAGATCCGTGATACCAATTCCCTTCTCCAGCTCCTGGTTCAACATATCTCACAAAATATGGTGAAAATTGGTAAGAAATTCTACCGCCAGAAAGAAGGAATTCCACAGGGTTCAGTTCTTTCCTCTCTACTTTGTAATTACTTCTACGCAGATCTCGAAGCTAAACATTTGTCTTTTCTTCAACCTGATGAAAGTTTGCTTCTAAGATTGATTGATGACTTTTTACTCATAACACTCAATCCAGCACACGCAAAACGTTTCTTAAAAGTAATGCATGATGGAATACCTGAATATGGAGTGGGTGTAAATCCAGATAAGACACTTACAAATTTTGAAGTAATGATTAATGGGAAGAAAATTAAGAGAATTGTGGGTGGAAAGATGTTTCCATATTGCGGGAATTTGATTGATATGAAGACTTTGAATCTTTCAAGGGATAGGGATAGAGGGAAAGAGTTAGGTGAGTTTTTGTTACATTTATTTTCTAATTATAGAAATGTTATTATTTTGGGATGATTTATTTACTGATGTTTATTGGACAGCTATGCAGGATTCTCTTACAGTTGAATATTCGAGGATTCCGGGTAAAACATTTCATCGGAAAGTTCTTAGTATGTCATTTACTTTTCTTTCTATGTTTCTTCTTGCCTTTCTTTTGCCAAAACCACAACATCACAATATGTGTGAATATAAATTCAAACAAACCACTTTCTGTCACATACGACCATAGACTGAAGAGAATTGGGCATCCCGTCCGCTCTGCCATACACAAGCTTCAGATCGGTGGATTAGTAGTTGGGTGGGTGACCACCAGCGAATCCCTACTGTTGTATGTTTTTTTTTTGTCTTGATTTTGTCTTGATTTTGTCTTGATTTTGTCTTCTTTTTGTTCTAAGAGAAGAGAATTTCAATGATATTTTAGATGTGCTAGTATCATCATCATCTATCCATTCTTTCTCCCCAAAATTTTATTTTGCACGCCCTTCCCCTCACAATCTCTCTCTATCCTTTCCCCCCCAAACAAACCACAAAAACTAACAACCCCCTCCCCTCTTCTAGATTCCCTCACCCTCCAAACCCACCCAATGTACCTAGACACATCCCACAATTCCCTGCCCACAGTCCACAAAAACATCTATACCTCCTATCACGAATCCGCCACCAAAATGTTCTCATATATTAAATGTTTGCCCGTATCGAAAAAACCTAAATGTGCTTTGATCATTCGCGCGATTGGGGATTTGATCGTTTTGGGGTGGTGTTTGAGTAGACGGGGAAGTAGGAGAGATGGGAGTGGGAAAGAGAGCAGTGGGAAAGATGGGAATGGGAAAGAGGGGAAGAAGGATAAGTATGAGGGATATATATGTGAGGTGTCGAAACAGGAAATGAGGAGATTGGCGCTGTGTGCTTTTTTGAAGGTTATGAGAAGGAGGCAGTGTGGGTATGAGGGGGTGGTGGAGTGGTTGGTAGGGGAGTTGGGTGGCTTTGAGGGGAGTTGGAGGGGGATAGGGAAGGGGAAGAGGAAGGACAAAGAGAAGATGTAATAAAAGATGAGTGGGTATAGAAAGAGAGAGAAGCAGGGGAGAAAGAAAAGATATTAATAAGTAATTATATTAATATTATATTTTTAAGTAAATTTCTTTTTATATTATTAAAAGTGAATTAAATTATCTTTTATATTATAAAAATCAAAGTTATTTTATTTTTATATTATTTAAAATCTACTTTAAAATGATTAAAATTTATAATAAAGAATTTATTATATTATTATAAATTTTATTCTTTTATTAAAGAAAGATCTTTTGTTTTTATAGATTTTATTCTTTTTTTATATATTCTATTCTCTTTTTAGATTTCTATCTTTTTTATTAATTCCACTCTTATATATTATAAATTCTATTATAGATTTTTATCCTTTTTCTTCTTCTTTTATCCTCTCTCTTCTCCTTCTCCTTCTCCTTCTCCTTCCTCTCCTTCTTCTCCTCCTACTCCTCCTCCTCCTCCTTCTCCTTCTTCTACCCTTCTTCTCCTTCTTTTATCTTTCCATTATTATTATCGGCTTGCCGATACCAAAACCTTACTGTACACAAGGTTTACCCGATGTAGGTAATAGAATGTCACAATTCACGGTTTAATTTGTAGTAGTATTATTGATGTCGGTGATTCATATGCCGACTACAGGGGGGGTGTGATTTAACTGTTGCTTTTAGGGGGCCTAATTACCTACGAATAAGACCCCAGGATTCCTAGGATAAGTATCCTAGACAATTATATTAGAATAGAATAAGTGTCCTAACTAATTGATTATAATAGAATAATTACCCTAAAGGATACTATATTTTAGAACTATAGTTTCTGAAGAAAAGCTTCTAGAATAAATGTTTTAAAAAAGGAAAGGTTTCAGGATTAATCATATAATAAGAAGTCTTAGAAATTTGAAAAGCTTTTAAAATTCTAAAAGCTTTTTTTTATTTATTAGTATATAATTAGAATAATTTTATAATTTAGAAGTTTCGTATTTAATTTAATTATCAATTAATTTATTTATATTTCAATTGATCTAATAATGAATTCATTTTCAAATAAATAATTAATGATTAATAATTTTAATCTATAATTACTAATTATACAAGATCTCAGATAATCATTATCTCGATCAGATTGTTATATTTTGAATACTATTATAATTAAGTTATATATAATATAATAGTTTTCAATCAATAATTTATTAAATCATCTTCCTTTAACTCAATCAGGGCTTTTGTTCAAGCTACTATAATAATGAAATATAAATAAACGATTCAAATATCTACTCTTGATTTATTTTATAAAGATTATAATAAATATCGAGCTTTTATTATATAAATTAATCTTTATTATACTTTTAATAAATAACTCTTTTTGATTTTTATATAAAGAATTTTGTAATTGATCTTTTTTTTTTTGAGAAATTATATTCAATTAGATTGAATTATTTTTTAATAATTTAATAATCAAGATTATTGATAATTAATTAAATAAAAATATGAAATTTGAGATATATTATCTCTTTTTCAATTATGAATTATTTAGATAAAGATTTGATAAAATATTTAAAGAAATAAACTTTGATTATATAATTAAAAAAGTATTACAATAATTTAGATAGATCAGATCAGTTATAATTTATATTGTTAAATTTCAACAGTATACTAGGTATATTATATAAAATAATGATTATCTAAAATCATAATTCTATAAAGAATTGAAAGATATTATTAAAGATGAATTAATAAAAGCTTCAAAATCATTTAATTTTTTCGAATTAATCGAAACCTTTATTCTTATTGATAATCGATTTTATAAATGATAAATAAAGAAGAAAAATATCATTTAGAAAAACAAAAAGTTTCAAAAACTTTATTATCAAAATAAGTATTATAATACCGGCGATCTAATGAAATTAAATAATATCGAACGATATTATATAAAATCAAGCAATTTAAATACTAACAAAAAGAAAAAATACAAAAAGAATAATTTATATTATATCTATAAAAATATATATATATTTAAAGATTGTTTTCAAAAGAAGAAATTATTCATTCCAAAAAATAAAAAATATATGAAATTCAGAAACAAAAGATAAGATTTTCAGGAAACGGAAATTCTAAAGGGAAATTCGAGGAAAATAAATTTATTAGAAAAAGATCTATCTTAATTCAATCTTGAATAATTAAAGAAATTGAATATTATTATTTAAAACTTTAAAAACGATATTGAAGATAATATTAATTATAAAAATAAATTCTTGGAATTTCACAAAATAAAAGATAAAGAATCTATTGAGGAATATAAAGAGAATCAGTAATTAATAGAATATTATCAATTGTTTCGAGAGAATAAATTATAATATCTAATCAGTTATCTAAATAAGAAATATATTTAATATTATTATAAGAAAGAAAAACCAGATTTTGTTGAAAAATATTAAATCTATAATTATTTTATTTTGCTAATCTTTTATATAATAATATATATTATATAATATTCAAAGAAAATATAAATATAAATAATATTAAAAGATATATTATTAATATAGATTTCCTTTATATCAATAAAATATAAAAATATAATAAATATAATTTAGAAATTGAAGATGTATAGGAAATCTTATTATAAGTTGGAAATCGTTGTATTTAATAAAAAATCAATAAATATAATAAATTAATTTCAAATCAAAATTACTATTATAACTTTCAAATAGAATTAATAAAATTATTATTTATTATATTCTATCGATTATTAAGTATAAATAAATAATAATATAAATAATTGAACTTCCTCATTGAAGAACAAATCATTGAATTATTATTATTAGAATTCAATGATATTATAAAAATTAGATAGTTAATTATAAAGATCAAATTAAAGAATTAAAAAATTATAAATATATTTATAGATCTCCATTTTGTTAGAGAAAAAAAAATTCTTATAAAGCCAAAATAGGATTTCTATCAATTGATATTATTAAGAAATAAAAAAACTGGAATTGATAATTGAGTATATAAAAAAACTAGTATTATCAAAATAATTATACTAAATGAGTATATTGAATAAATCAAAATGGATTTAATATTATTAGACAAATACACAACTACTCCTGATATCTTTTGGATTAAGAAATATAATCTAAATATTAATTGAATAAAAGATACTATAACATTCGATTATTATAAATATAAGAACAAATAATTATATAATTCAAAGAAACAAACTTTCAAAAAGATCAAATATTATATTATAATAACAACAAATCCTTTATTAATTAATAAAACTAATAAAAAAGAGATTTCAATATAATACAAAAGATTTATCAAATTGTTTAAAGATCTATAGGATTTAAGAGTTTTATTAGAATATAAGTTTTGAGATTATAAGATTATACAACTCGAATATTATAAAAGTATAAAAGTATAAAAGAAATATAAAATTAAAACTGAAAAGAAAGGATAGATTAAGAAATCTAAATATCTTTATATATTTAATATATTATTGATATTCAAAAAAGACGATTTAAATAATCGATTTTATAAAGATTATTATCGGATCAATAATAAAACAATCAAAGATATATATTTAATATTAAAAGTTTAAAAACTTAAGAATAAATTAAATAAAGTAATGATTTATATAAAATTAAATTAAAGAAATGTTTTTAATTTTATATAAATAAAGAAGGGTTATAAATAAAAACAATTTTTATATTATTATCAAATTTATAAGAATATTATAACGATCTGGTCGAGGCAGCGGCTGTCTAAGGTTTTGTATAGTTGGTAATTGTAGATTAAGGTTATTAATCATCGATTATCTATTTGAAAATGAATTTGTTACTAGATCAATTGGAATGTAAATAAACTAATTGATAACTAATTGAATATGAAGCTTCTAAACTATGAAACTATTCTGATTATATACTAATGAATGAAAAGAAGCTTTGTAGAGTCCTAAAGCTTCAAAAAGCTCCTGGAGCTCTAGAAGCTTGGAAAGCTTCTAGAGCTCCTCATCATGTAATTGATCTTGAGACCTTTCCTTTCCTGGAATATTTATCCCAGAAACTTTTCTTTAGGAATTATTGTTTTAAAATATGATATCTTCTATAATGATTATCTTATTATAATTGATTAATTAGAATATTTGTTCTATTCTAATATAATTGTCTAGGATATTTATTCTAGGAATCCTGAGTTTCTATTCGTAAACAATTAGGCCTCTTGAAAGCAATGATTAAATCATACCCCTTCTATAATCGATATATAAATCATTGATATTAATAATATTATTATAATCTAATTTGTGAATTGTGATAAATATATAATTATATTATTTGGATTAATTAATATATTAATTATATATCAATAATAAAATAATGAAATATTTAAAAAATTTAATTTATTTATAATTTGTTATTTAAATAATATTTTAATTTTCTTTTAAAAAGAAAAAGAATATAAAGTATATATATTGAAAGTATTTAAAGTATTTAGAAAAGTGGATTTATAATTTAAATCATCGAAATATGAATTTAGAGTATAAAAATAATATTTTGAGATATATTATATAATTAAAACAAATGAGTATAGATTTTAAGAAAATAAAGAAAATAAAAAATTAAAAACAATTTAGAAATATCAAAGATATATAATCTATCTATATTAAGATTTGTTAATTTCTATCGAATATTTATAAAGAATTTTTCAAAAATGATAGAACTGTTACGATTTACAATTAAAATAAGAATATATTGAGGGGCAGCAGTCAACATGTCCACATGAGCTTAGGCCTTATCGAAAAGCAAGGCGATTTGTATACAAATTTGTATAATAATCGCCTTATGTAGTCTCCCCACCTTTAGCAAGCTCGGACATATAGTCTGATCCTAATCACGTGATAAGGAGCCCTGAGAGCTTCGAAAGCTTCTAGAGCTCCAGGAGCTTTTTGGAGCTCTAAAGTTTTACAAAGCTTCTTTATATTTATTAATATATAATCAGAATAGTTTTATAATTTAAAAGTTTTATATTCAACTTAATTATCAATTAGTTTATCTATATTCCAATTGATCTAATAACGAATTTATCTTCGAGTGGATAACCAGTGATTATTAACCTTAACCTACAACTATCAACTATACGAAAACCTGAGGCAGCCGCTGCCTCGACCAGATCGTTACAGGAACCTTTTATCGAAATGATTAAAAAAAGAATAACTTTTGTTTGGAATGAAAAAATAAAATAAACTTTCTAAGAAATCAAGAATAGATTTATTAAAGAATTTATTCTTTATAATTATTATAATAATCAGAAAAGTATTATTAAAATAGATACTTTTGATATTTATATAATAAAAGTTTATTTATAAAGAAACAATAATGAGAAATTATATTTTGTTATTTATTATTTAAATAAAATAAACAAAACAAAATAAAATTATAATATTTATAAAAAAGAATTTATAATAATTATAAAAATATTAAAATATTAAAGAATCTATCTTTAAGGAATTAAGTTTCTAATAATTATTTATATTGATTATATAAATCTTCGAATCTTTATTATTATTAAGATCTTAAATAATTGTAAATTAACAAAATAGATTGAGGAATTAACAGGATTTGATTTAATAATCAAATATATCAAAAGAAAGAATAATACAAAAGTAGATACTTTGAATAGATTATTAGATTATAAAGATAATAAAATCTATTAAGAAACAATAATTTTGAAATCTTTATCAAATAGAGATCTTATTTTTAGTTTAATAGAAATCATTATAATAAAAAATAAATCAATAAAGGATTGAAGAAATAAATTTATGAAAATATAACAAAATAAAAAAAATATTAAATGATTAAAGTTATTTGTAATTATTGATGAATTATTTTAAATAAAGAATAAAATATAATTATTAAATAATATAATCTTTAAGTATATTATAAAATAATATATATTGTTAACTTATAGATATCAAAAAGTATAAAGAATATATTTGAAAATCAAAAGATAATATTGAAGTCTAGGATTCCACAATATAATTAACAAAATAATTATTAAGTATAATATTTATATTAAGAATAAGATTTTCTATTATACTTTTTATAAATAAATAAACATTATTGAAATACTATTTATATTATAAAAATCAATATTATAAATAAATATTCTAGGTAATTGATTATAATAAAATAATCACCTTAAAGGATATCATATCCTAAAACTATAATTCCTAAAGGAAAACTTCTAGGACAAATATTTCAGAAAAGAAAAGACTTTAAGATCAATCATATAATAAGAAACTTTAAAAGCTTGAAAAGCTCTTGAACTTTATAAAACTCCTTTTCATTCATTAATATATAATTAGAATAATTTTATAATTTAAAAGCTTTATACTCAACTTAGTTATCAATTAGTTTACTTACATTTCAATTGATCTAATAACGAATTCATTTTCAAATAGATAATTAATGATTAATAATCTTAACTTATAACTATCAATTATACAAGACCTCAGGCAGCCGCTATCTCGACCAGATCGTTATATAGAAATAAAAAACTCATTTAAATGAGTCGCAATCCTGACAATCTAACTGGTCTAAAATATCCCAGTAAATAATCTAACAAAAAGCTTAATATAAGCCTTATAACCTTAAGCAAATCTAACTTAAAACTTTTTTCAATTTTATTAAAATCATTCAACTTTATTAAAATTATTTAACTTTATTTATTTAATTTATCTCATTCAATTTATTTTATTCAATTCATCTTATTCAATTTAAAATAATAATAATCTATATTATTTATATTATTATTATTATTATTATTATTATTATTATTATTATTATTATTATTATTATTATTATTATTATTATTATTATTATTATTATTATTATTATTATTATTATTATTATTATTATTATTATTATTATTATTATTATTATTATTATTATTATTATTATTATTATATTATTATAAATAAAGTTTTTTAATTTTCAATTATTAAAAACAAACTAATGTTTTATTTACATCTTAATATATATTTAATATTAAATTTATTATAAAAAATTATAAATTTGAATTTTCATTAACTTTCTCAAAAAGTCAGAGGTCTGAGGGGCTTAGGCCTCTGATATATATATAATATAATATATAAAAGTTATTTAATTTAATTTAATTAAATTAAAATTTTGAATACTTTTATATATAAAATGAATTTAATTAAATTATTTGTTTTATATTTATATTTATATTTACATTTATATTTATATTTATATTTATATTTATATTTATATTTATATTTATATTTATATTTATATTTATATTTATATTTATATTTATATTTATATTTATATTTATATTTATATTTATATTTATATTTATATTTATATTTATATTTATATTTATATTTATATTTATATTTATATTTATATTTATATTTATATTTATATTTATATTTATATTTATATTTATATTTATATTTATATTTATATTTATATTTATAATCTCTCTTTAACACTTATCACAATGATAGATAGATTCTTAATTAATATAATGGTATTCTACAAAGAGAAAAAGAAGGTGCTAGGAGAAGTATAGACTATATAGGATGAGGAAGCCGTATGCGCTCATGTAGACTAACCAGAACGCGCTGAACCTGTGACGGCACCAATGTCACTCTTTTCTTTTCTTTTCTTTCCTTTCATATTCATTTTATTTCTTTTTATACTCATTTCATTCCATTAATTTAATTAATCAACAAATAAGCATTCCACTCCCCAAGGAAACGAAAACACATACAATTAATCATTTTATCATTTCATCGTTAAAACACTATACAAGGTCTTACAATACAGTTTTTTCTAATTCCTTATTCCCCATCTCTCTCTCCTCATTTCTCTTTCTATTTCTATTCCATACTCCTACTCCCGACTCTCAACTGCCCTCCCATCTCGATCTTTAAGTTTCAAATCCATTTCTAACCAGCAACTCCCAATCGAAGTAATCATATTAATATTACCCATACTTATATTTATATTCATAAGCCAACCAAACCAGATAAGTATATTATGTACACAAAAGCATAAGTTTATTAGGTATTAACCCATTAACCCATTAATCAATCATCAAACCTATCAAAATCATGAACCATCAATTATGAACCATCAACCATGAACCATAAACCATCAAACCATAAACCATCAAACCCACCAAATAAAATCCACAAACCCTCACTCATAAAGCATTCATTAACCATTCCTCTGAATATCATAATTAAGCCCATGAGCACCAGCATTCGTAAGCGATAGACCCTGCTGGGTGGGATTTGCATATTGGTTTTGAGCAAGAGTATTCACATTTAAAGTATTGACGCGCGAAGGATTTGTTGTTTGATTTCCATACTGTGGGTATGGGTGAGTGTGAGTGTGAGTGTGAATATTAGTATTAGCATGGAGAAGTGATGGAACGGTCTGAGCTGCGTATTGTGCTTGAACGTGGCCATTTCCATTGACACTGACATGCGTTGGACTTGGTGTTGGATTTCCATATTGAGCATGTGCAGACAAAACGCCATATCCACCTGTTTGCCAATTCACGTATGTTTGTTGTGGTTGAATCTGTCCCTGCATAGTCGTGGCGACGGTATGTTCATCCATAACAGGTATAATACTGTTCATGTATTGGTCCATCATCGGTTCTGCTAAAACTTCGGGAGTAGGAGCAAAACCATCCGGTCCAATTTTCCATGGGATATGCATATGATTCCCTTTTAAAATATATTCGATGATATCACCCATATCGGTTTGCTGCCGAGAGTCTTCAAGAGAGAAATCGATACCGGATGCTGCTTGAACATTTGATTGTAGATGCCTGCTGTCGATTTGTTGAGGTTGTGCATTAGATGTGTGATTATCGATGAGGTCTCCAATTTGAGCTAATTGAAAGGCGACCTGTGTGAGCATGGCGAAGAGTGGACAGAGACGAATGTTGTCCATGGCATTTTTTATATCAAAGACAGCCTTTTTAAGAGACATATCTTCGTTACTATATGGCTCATCTTTGCCTAGGAAATCCAAGGAAATAACCATTACACTATGGTAGACGTAATAAGAATCCATCCAAGTTATACCATTGAATTGGCCTGAAGTGATAAGTTGATGGACAAGCAAAATAGATTGCTTGGAATAGAGGCAGCATTTGGACCCCAGCTTAACTTCTTCATCGTTGATAATGTTGCTACAGCGAGTCTGCTTTCCTAATTTTCGACCTAGTTGTGCAGCTACTTTCCGTATTATGAATGGACGAGCGACAAGAGATTGCGTATGATGGAATTGAAGATGAAGTAGGTAAATCGCTCGCATGTGGGTAACTGATTGAGTTTGAGAGTCGAGACGAAGATGGAGCGGCAAACGATGGTGCCATGTTTCCAAATCCATGATTAATCGGTTGGCGTTGTTGATCATTTGTTTGTCTGTATAAGGGGTCGGCATTGAACGAGGGGGATATATCATTCTATTAGTTTCCGCCATGAGTTTGGTCAAATGAACCAACTCCTCAACATAATTCATAGGCACACAGGCGCCGCCATCGAGTAGATCTTCATTGGGGAATCCGACACAGACCTCATTATCATCGATGAAACAAGGCCTACCCAGTGTCGTGCATGCGTTTTGTTCGAGTACATAAATTGTCCACCATATACGACGTCGTAATTCACTCTCGATTGAATTGCGGTTATTGCCCTCTTCTCTATGCATCCCAAGAATCGTGGCCATGGTGGAAGCAGCTCGTAACATAATAGAAGCTAAATTACGTTCGGATATGTTGTGTAAATACAAGTGTAAGAGGAGTAGAGCTTGAATATTGACCAAGGTACTTGAAACCTGAAGTTGAGAAGCCCTTGATTGCACCCATGATTTATAATTCTGAGTATAATCAATGTACAAATCATCGTGTGGCTCAAGAGCTTGAGCGCCGAGCACTAGAACCATAAGAACAGAACATAGCCATCCGGATTCGAAATCTTGTACTTGAACATTAAGTTGGCTCCACATCGTGTCATAACGCTGTTCAAAAGAGTGACGGTGGAAAATCATAAAAGTTGGATGAACGCGATCAAAGAAAGACCTAATAAGGACATCTGCAATCTCTCGAGAGGGCAGGAGTGAACATAGAGGTTCCTTTTCCGAAGGATCTTTTCCCGGAACAATTGGAGGCACGTGATAATTTCCAGATAAATGCGCCGCTCGCTCTAGATCCGCCGGCCCAGGAGCCGTTTGACGTTCTTCGGCAGCTTTTGGTTCTAAGGCTTTACTCCATCTTGAATTCGCAAAGTCCATCATCAACTGTAAATTTGAATGATTCGGTTGAGCAATCCTCAAGTTATCAGCATATGGTTTTACCAACATACGACAACTGAGCGCAAATCCAAAGCTTGAAGAGGGTCCGACGAAATGCGATTCTCCTCCCGAAGGTGTTGGAACAAGGGCTTCTTGTGGTGAGCTGGGTAAGGTAACTGATTTCTCTGTTGGTGATGGCTCATCTTTCATGGTCCGCTGGCTAGGATCGGAATAAGTCGGTGATGATGCCAGTGCCTTCGGGAATTGGGCAAAGACATCATTAATATGCCTACCGGGACTATCGGCGGTGAAATCAGGTAAAGTTATGTCGTGAGCTGCAGCAATCTCGTATAGGACGTCGATATCATTTGTATCCTTCTGAGGGAACAAGCCTTTGATTAATGCATCTAGAACGCGATACCGGGTAGTAAGACTTTCGATACTTCCATAAATTCTCGTCTTTCGAGGAAGGGTGCATTCACAATTCACATTGGCTTCCACACAATTCAGACAGGGTTCTTCACCCACTCGTGAACAACGAATTCTACGCTGTTTGCAGCGATCGCAAGAGACAAGGGCTCTTTTTCGTAAGTGATCCGGGATGCGAACCTTTCCGGGCTTTTTCTTGGGGGGTGGAGGCATCTTCTGAGCCGGGGGAAGGGCAGATCTAACGCCACCAGTACGGGGTGTATTTGACGTGATGACCAATAATCGGTGTCAGGCCAGTTATGAGTATGAAAATATATATGATTGAACATATATGTAACATGAGAATATAGAAAGAAACTCTTGTTCATTCCCCCATGATTGTATGGGCCAGGGAATAATTACTCGGATGAAATGGAAGTTGGTGTATTAGTCAGTTTATGAAGTTGAATGACTTGACCGACGGGTCTCGTGTAGTACGAATAAAGTTGAAGATGGTTGGGGAAGGTTGATAGGTGGTGATGGATTTGTGGATTGTAGATTGTAGATTGTGGAGTGTGGAGAGTATGGAGTATGAGTGTGAGTATGAGTATGAGTATGAGTATGAAGAGACTTTCGTGATGGTGGTCGTAGTTATCAACAATTGCCCAGATGTAGTATGTCCTTATGTACGTTGTGATTTGGTAGTTGAGAGGATTCATAGAGTATTAAAGTATTAAAATAGGAAAGTAGTCCTCGAGTAATAAATCAAGGCAAGAAAGAATTGTCAGTGCTGGCTGACTTAGCTTTTCATTAACCTTTGTGCCTATAGTTTTGGTCAAGTACCGGCACATTTTATGTACAGGGATTCATTCATTCATTCATTCGCACTTGCGAGTTTGAAGGTTGTGGAAGGTGGAAAGATGGCCTTGATGACTTATTAATAAATATATATGGTAATTTTATATCTATATGTTGTATATACCTAAATATTGTGCCTTCTTTCCTATAAATGCCATCCTACTTGCACCCCAGTTGTAAACATGTATTCTTGTTTCCTGCTGTTTCCGAATACGTAGTAACACCTAAGTTGTTCATCCTGTTGGCACACCTCACCTCACTCACTCGCACCTTATTCAAAATGGATTTTGTGTTTGGAGCAGGGTCCCTCTTTTTCCACCTAGTCGTTGCTACTACTGCAGGTAAGGAGGTTTACTGCTAACTAGACCACTGGTGGGCCCTATTAGTTGTTGATCTAACACCTGAGTACCAGGGACGTACCTATGAAATACATCGATTCATCGAATTCCAACAGATGGTACTTTACCTGGAGAGCTAAGAGATCCAGTAGATTTCCATGACAGGCACATTTCAAGCTACGGCAGAGTTAGTACTAGGTACATGATGGTTAATATTATACTGCACCCCGGCACATCAGCCCACAGCAGATCAACGCAGCAGTTCTTGACGAGATGAAGGTTTCTCTAATCTCATACATGGATGTTAGGAGGATATTCACCAATAAGTATCATTGATTGAGGGATATCCATCCGCTTACTGTCATCGATTGGAGCCTTCAATCATCCAATACATACTAGACTTTAGTCGTCTTGTTCATCCAATTGTTGTCAATAAATGAAGCTCTACAATGTGTGGAATTGGTACTAAGGGAGAATGAGCATCAAGCATGCACTCAGACTCACAGTCCTCTTCATTAGACCAATTTTGTCAACTTACTAAATCTTTAGTGCAACGGTAGGAAATCTATCCTGGGAAGATGTTGAAAATCAACGCATCAACAGATTCAACACATGGACCATCCTTACCTCGGTTGTCGAAGCATTTGTACATTCAGTCAGTTGTGTACTCCGTACTCTGCTAAACAATCAGGTCATCGAGTAAATAATGCAATTAAATTCAAAGACCTTCTAGAACCGACTTGATTGACGAATCCTGATACATGTAACACGCCATTCGTTATTGCTTTTGATCTAATCTTCTGCCGGTACCGTGATACCGGAGCAGGTAGGTGCATTTGAGAAGCTTACCTCTTCTCAAAGGTAGTTCTCAAAGGTAGTTCTCAAAGGTAGTTTACACTTTTCACTAGGTAAAGACAATAGAATGAGCAAGTACCTATCCTATCTCGTAGGTGAGCAATAGAGTATAGGCAGGCACCTAGATGGTATAGACAGTATAGAGCATCATCAAAATACCGGGTTAGTGTATGCGTAGTACCTAGTATGTATCTTGGTCTACTCGCAATGATGCAAGATCACTCCATCACTCCATCACCCAATCACTTTATTCACTTTATTCACTTTATTCACTTTATTCACTTTATTCACTTTATTCACTTTATTCACTTTATTCACTTTATTCACTCCTCACTCTCCTCAAATTAGAATCGCGGCTTTTATCATTCTCCCATTGATTGATTACCATCCGCTTAGATAATACTTTTTTTAATATCTTGCCCTGGGTATCCACTTTTGCTCCACATCAGTGCGTAAGATTACGAATTAAACCCTTCCAAGTTGACTCAGACTCAGTCAATAACATATTTCTGATGCTGAGCGCATTCATTGCCCACTATCTGGTGATCCTAACAGAAGGTTGCACCTTTCTCCAGCAAAATGATTGCTCGCTCTCTCTGGGTTCATGCCCCTAGTTATGCTGCTCGACTTGTATTTGTAGGACAAGCTTTTCCTTTTCAGAGATCACATGTACATATACATACATACCTAGTACATACATGGCAGATCTTATTGTATAAAACGCTCAAAATGGGGAAGAGTTGAGAGTTGGAAACTTGGAAACTTATATACTAGGTACGATCACCCTTCACTCACTTAAATATCCGTACAATAATAAATATGCCTCCTTTACGGCGGATACAACTTCCTAGCCCCATCATTCGTTTCTGATATCCACACAGTACATGGACATTGAACGGCTGAATAACCCGGTCATTTTTACCTCTTACCTCTTCTTCCTTGTCCTAACTGTTGGTTCAATCCATATTAAAAATCCATTGACTCATCCATATCTCATCCTCATCGTTCGAGAACATTTAGTCCGTACATATGAATCCAAACTAATCCTCATTGACCTTCTAATACCTTGTCTTTGCCCTGCCAAGCTACAGTAACATACCGTTGTTCACACATAACCCTCGTGCCCCATTGGTCTCACTTTACCACTGTCTCGGGTCCTTTCTGAGATCGGCTCGTCCAAAAAGAGGTATGTGTGCCGCGTTTACTCGTTACTGTATGCTTTGTTAATCATTCTATCCTCATGCAAAAGGTCGGCTGGATATACACACCACCATTGTACCAATGTATGCTTCGTTTTCTGTACTTCCTCATCTTAGAGTACAAGTTATGATACTTGGCATGATTTCTCTAGACAAAATGTATATATCCACACGTAACGGAGCTGATACTTTCATTTCATAGTATGATATCCTCTTGAGCATGTAGTACAGAGCTCGTTCTTGAACCTTCCACTTCCCTTCACCCACCTCATCACCAACCATCTTTTCATGGTCAAGGATAGGGTTGGTGGTGTTGTGTCCCTATTACATCTTCCAACATGTCATCAAGTCAACCAAACATAGAAAATATTGATCAATTTGATGCTCATCGAAAAATTTCACTCTGTGTGGAATCGGGTTCAACATCTCAAAACCCAGAAATCAAACTTGATCAACATGGATTACCATTGGTACCTCAACCCAGCCACTTTAAAGATGATCCATTGGTATGTTGTTTTTTAAATCATTATCCGATATTGCCGAAATATCTCAAATTGTCAAATACATCCTTTCATCTCATTCAAATTTCATCGCTTCGATGAATCAACACAACGCTGATAATCTACATACAGAATTGGCCAACATGGCTCAAATGGGCAGTTCTCATTCAAGTTGGCTATATGGCAGCCTTAGGACCATACAATGCTGCCCTCATTAATCCAAGTTTAGTTCTCCTAAGTAAGACGCTTGATATCAGTCCTCAAGTAGCCGCATACAGTACAACTACAGCAATTATCACGGGAGGTGTTTCACCATTCATTTATGCACCTCTTACAAATATCTATGGTCGTAGACCTATCACTCTATTCGCAATCATCTTGACTATCATTGGAGGAGTAACATCAGCTTGCTCAACTACATTTGCCCAACTAGTTGGTACAAGGGCACTTTGTGGGGCTGGCTTTGGTGGGATGATGTCAGTTGGAACTGCTTGTGTGAATGATATGTTTTTTCTTCATCAAAGAGGTGAAGCTACTGGTGTATATTCTGTTTTTATCACAAATGGTGCTCATGTAGCTGCTATCAGTAGGTTAACTCTTCCAAGTTAAGTTTCATATGAACAAGTAATTAACCCAATCAATATAGTTGGTGGTTATCTTGGTTCATCCTTAGGTTGGCAATGGGATTACTGGATTGGAGCCATCAGTACATCTATTTCACTCCTCCTTGCCATTTTTCTCTTCCCCGAAACACTCTTCTCTCGAGATCCATCTTATCTCTCTACACGTACCAAAACTCGCACATACTATGAACTTCTCTTTGATTTTCGAGGAAACACTCTCCCTAATCGTTCACTCCACTTTTCCCATTTCTTCCAATCCTTCTATATGCTCCGCTACCCTTCTATCTTCTTTCCTTTTTGGTACTACACATGGGCATGGACTTTTATTAATGTCATGCCGGCTATCACCATCGCAACCATATACACAGGATTTTACCATTTAAAATCCGGTCCTATCGGTCTCTGTCTAGGTGTTTCTCTCATGATTGGTAGTTTTCTTGGAGAACTCAGCGCGGGAAAAGCAAGTGATTATGTTATGTATCGTATGGCGAAGAAAAATGGAAATTTAAGGAAACCAGAATATAGACTTTATCTTTGTTGTTTATCAGCGGTATTTATGCCGGTTGGATTAATTATTTTTGGGGCTACGGTGGGAAAAGTTCATTATATAATTCCTCTTATTGGATTGTCTATTGGTATGTTTGTTCGTTTACTTATTTATATCCTATCATTTTCTCCCCCTATTCAGTCTCGCCATTTCCAATTCTACAAACCCCCTTCCACTCTCCCTCTTACCTTCCACACCAAAACCCAAACCCCCACTAATATCCTCCCCTCCCCACCATAGGTGTCTTCGGTCTCCAAATCGCCTCCACAACCCTCTACGCCTACGTCTCCGACTGCTACAAACCCCAAACAGCCGAAACAGGCGTCCTTTTTAATCTTTCCCGCGGTCTCTCATTCGTCGTTGGTTATTTTGCTTTGCCGTTTGCGGATGAAGTCGGGTTTATGTGGGCGTGGTTTACTTTTGCGATGACGCTTTTGGTGTTTTTCCCGGTTGGGGCGTTGATTTGGTGGGGGAGGTGGAGGGGAGGGGTGTGGAGGGGAGGGGTGTGCCGGGGTTTCATAGGTGGTTGTAGGTGGTTGTAGGGGGTTTGGGGGTTTGGGGGATGGGGATGGGGATTGTTGGATGTTTTTTAGACGGGGGGAGGGTTGAGAGGAGGAGAGAAGATGAAGTAGATGAGTTGGGAATGAAAGTGGAAGGGGTGGAGGTGAGTATTATTTAATATTATATAATGTAATAAGTCTAGTACCCTACTTTCCGGACACCTTTTCACACCAAAAATCATCATTTTCACCTATTAATATTCCAACAACCAATGAATAAAATCGATTGAAATTTGAATCGTAAATTTATTATATAGTTATCAATCGATCTTGAAAGTTTTAGATTTTTTGGAATTTACTTCATTGAGATCTATAATCTTAAATTTTGTGATTTTTGATTTGTATGAGATTTATATACAAATTTACAAAATCTTTAAAATCTTGAATAACTTTTCAACAAAAATAAATTTTAAATTTTTTTCCAATAATAATCAAATAAATCAATTTATTTTAAAAAATATTTTACAAAAATCCTTTTAATCAAAATGTCATGATTTTTAATCTTTATAAAATCTAAAAATATCAATAAAGATTTAATTCTATTATTTAAAATTCAAAATCTTAATCTACTATATAATATTTGATTTAAAGATTTTAAAAAGATTTACAGTTTATTTTTAATAATTTTTGTTGAAAATTTATTCAAGATTTTCAATATTTTCAAATTTGTATATAAATGTTACAAGGGATGCGATCTAGATCACGTGGAAGTGGCCTGGATCCTCGAAGGGTTTATAACTAGATGTCAAGTAGGGGTTTTTAAAATAATATCAATGATTACAATTCGTAATTAATAATAAAATATATTAAATGATTGATTTTGAATATAAAGTTTTACAAAAGGAATCCTTTTTTAATTATATAGATCTTTATATCAATTGAATCATTTGAATCTAATGGATTTAGAATTTGATTCTTTAGATCTTTTAGATTTTATAATCTATCATATAATTACAATCAGATTATATATCCAAGTTTGTTAAGAGTAAGGAGATTATATAAATTGATTATTATACAAATTTGTATATAAATTATTTTGTTTTTTAATAAAGTTTAAGTTTATATAAATAGATTGATTATTATTTTATAATATTATTCTTTTTTTAATTTAATATTTATTTCAAGTTTTTATAATAGTTTTATTTATTGATTTATAAATTTTTATAGAATAAATTTTTTTTCTTTTATTATATTATTTATATAATCAAAGAAATATAAAGAACGAATTGAATTTATAAAATTAATTAAATTTCAAAAAGATATTATATCTTTATATATTTATTATAAAGATAATTTTTGTATTTATATTATTTCGAAAAAGAATTCTTTTTGATATAATGAATATATATATTAAAGAGTCAAATATAATCTTATAGATTCTTTTATTTCAGATATATATAATTTGATTTGAGAATAAAAGTATTTGAATAAAGAGAAGGAGAAGATGATTAATTTGATTATAATTATTGTTTTTTGTTTGATATGATTATATAAATAATATAAGTTCCTTCAAATTTATAATAATGAAATGATTCAATGAGGTCTGAAAATAATAAATAAATTGAAAGAGTTTGAAAGAAAGAAATATTTAAAAGAAGGATTTGTTAAAAAGAAGAAGAAAGTTTTGTTATTTAATATTCTTAATTTTAAAAACAATTCTTTTATAATATTTTTTTTCGATTCTTTCTTTTTGGATTTTTTGAATCCTGATAATCTGATTTGGGTGATTTTGGATATTGTTGATAGAATATTTTTAGTTTTTTTGAATAATTAAATTTTTTTTTAATTCCTAAATGTTTTTTGAATGTAGGAAATCCAATTATTTAATTAAATATTTGATTTTATTTTTGATGTATTTATAATCTAATATTGTTTCGATATTGTATATAGTATTTGGATTGATTAGTTTTATTTTTGTTATAGATATATTAGATGTTTTTAGTAGTATTGATTCGAATAAAGATATATAGAATATTAAATAGATATTTATAATATATAGTAATTTTAATCTATAATTAATTGATCTAATTATCTTATTGATTTTGAATGATTTTAGTTTTTTGTAATTTAGTTTATCATTAGATTGTTTAATTTATATATTTCTTTGAAAAAAATAAACTTTTTTTTTTTAAATATAAATTCTAAATTATATAATGAATTGTAATATATTGTTGTTTGTAAAGTTATAAATTGTAGATCCAAAAAGAATTACTTTTGTAGATTCTTGATCTTTTTAATATTCTTTATAACTTTATTTGTATTTCTATTTTGTAATAGTATTATTCGATATACTATTGAATAGAATCTGAAATTAGTATAAATTGATATAATTTTCATTGTTTCTATTTTCAATGAGTTATATATGAATTAAATCAAAAATAATAATTTAATTTAATTATTTTATTTATAATTAATATGATATTATAAATAAACTTTTATTGTTTGATTTAATTGTTTTATTTATTTATTTGTTTATAAATAAAAAGCTATTGATAGCTTTTTTTTTATATTTAATAATATTATTAATATTATTCAAAATTTCGAAATAAAAAGTTTGTTTCAATTTAAAATTATTTTTTCTGATATATTATATATTGATTATATTCTTTAGAAATATATATATTAAATTGTTGATAGATTATATTTTATAAAATGATATTATATAGGTATATTTAATTAGTCTGTTTATTATTATTAGAATAGTATTATATTCTTTTTTTGTAATTGATTCTTTGAAAAGAAATAGTTTAATTACAAAATCCTATATAATGGATTTCTATAATTCCAAATATAGATCGAAGGTTTTGAATTGATTATACAAAGTATATTTAACAGTTTTGTTTTGTATATAAATATCATATTTCCTAATTATTTCTTTAATTATTATTTTCATTTTTAGGAAATATATTTCTTATTGTAGTTTTGTAAGCGTTTTAATTATTCCTTGATATTTTTATATTAATAATTCGTATCATTCTTTGACAAAATCTTTTGTTATTCTAATAAGAATATAGATTTTGTTATAGAAGTAAATTATTTCTTTTTTGATTGTGAATCCTGATTTTAATTTCTTTAGGATTCCTTATATAGTAATATCATTTTTATAATGAAGTAATAATTATAGTTTGATTGTATTATTTAATAATTTGAAAATAACGATTAATTGAGATTTGTTATATATTATTATATTGTTTTTCTGTTTTAATATCGTATATATTTTGTAAATTTTATTTTATAAATATTTTGGTTTTCGATTAAAAATATCTACTTTAGTATTTTCGTTCTTTTTGATATATAAAATTCTGAAATTATAGATTATCAAGATCTTCAATTATTTAATTTGTTATCAATTTAGTTTTTTATTATAATAAAATAAACCAAGTTTTTATAATCTATATATATTTATATTATATATTTTGATTTTTTTTTAAATATATTCTTTATTCTTTAAATATATCTATTATCATTAGTAGTTTTTTATTATAAGAGTTTTGAAATCTACTCACCGCACACTAAGCGAAATCACATCAAAATCAACGATTTTTTTAACTTTTTAAACCCTTGTTATCTTTATAAAATAATAAAATAAATATATAAAAATTGATGTGTATATAGATAGATAATTCATTCAAATATAATAAAAATTTAACAAAATATTTTTTATTATTTTTGTTTCAAAGTTATATATATTTAAGATTGGAAAAATAAAAAAGTTTAAAAAAATCGCTTATTTTATATGGGGAAAAGTTTAAAAAAGCGTTATACAAATGAAATTTTAACATTTTTTAAATTTAAATAGATATAACTTTCAAACAAAAATATTTAAAAATAAATTGTAAATCTTTTCAATATTCTTTTGTAGTTAATTATAATATTTGAAAATTTCATTTAATTCAATTCAATATTGAAAAAGTTATTTGATATTTTATTTTATATAGGAAAATATGAGTTTTGCAGGGATTTTGTCACGAATTTAAATGGTGTACAGTGAGTAGATTCCAGAATTCTTATATTTTATAATTTAATTCGATTAATAATAATATTTGTGAATAATAAACAATTGATTACTATTTCTTATTTGAATCAAATTGATTCAATATAACTCCTATTGTATAATCTGAAATATTTATTTCTATAATTATTGATAATTCTAGATCGAAAGTTAGAAGAATAGATTCTTTGATAAAGGCCTTTTTAAGATCCTCGAATGCTTTTTGTACTTACAAAATCCATTAGAATTCTTTTTGATTCTTTTTAATGATTTCTGATACTGAAATAATTATTTTGGAATAGTCTTTGATAAATCGTTGATAGAAATTGATGAATTTTAAAAAGGATTGTATTTTCTTTATATTATTCGATAATTTCTAGTTTTGAATTGTTTTTAATTTATCAGGGTTTATTTTGAAGCTTTTTGAAAAGATTATATAATCTAGGAATTCTGTTTTTGTAATATAGAATTTGCATTTACTAAATTTATATTAAAAATTTACTTCCTTTAAATATTTTAGTATTTTATATATATTTAATATATATTGTTTTTTTGTTTCAGAAAATATAAAGATATTGTTTAAATAATATATATAATAAATATCCAGATATTCTTTTAATATATTATTGATTAATTGTATATATATTGTTGATATATTAATTAATTCGAATAATATAACCTGATATTTGTATAATCTATATCGAATTTTGAATATTGTTTTCTATTCTTTATTTTTCTTTATTTTAATTAAATGAAATCTGTTCTTTAGATCAAACTTGAAGAAAATCCTTGTTTTTTTTAATCAATCTTTTAGTTCTATAATTAATGAGAATAGATATCGATTTTTGATTGTTATATTATTGAGTTTATAATAATCTATATATAATCTTTTAATATTATCTTTCTTAGATATATATAATATAAAACTAATTGTTTATAAAGTTGATTTTTTGATTCAATTTTTTTTTAATATATTATTGATATATTCTCTAAATGTTCTTAGTTTCAACTTTGATATCTG